ATCTTCTCTGGCGACGACTGATAGCAATATGGTCTATCTGTGTCCATCACTGAGTTGAGCTCAGTGGACGTCACGTCAGACAATATTTTTCTCTGTCTGAAGTTTGTCCCAGTTAGAAATAAACGGTTATCTGAGCACAGTTGTAGTAGGTTATCACCGTTATCTGTTTGTTCGGCTGGGATTCTGAAAGTGCCACGTAAGTGACTTTCTGCATGACTCAGCCTACTCACTTGTGCATTGAAATAACTTGCAACAACTACGTCTGAACGTTCGGGTTTCAGAAGGAGGTCAGACGGCTTTCTGTAGAACTCATCCTGCACTTCCTCTGAACTGCAGTAAGTGGGTGCAGTGACTACAAAAAGACGACGGTGAGTTTTACTACTCCTTTTAGTTCTCACTGTGCCGGACAGCGCATGTGAAACTGTCCACTGGAATCCGTTCTAGTAAGGAGCCTTCTACCCTAGTGATTAATGCTATACATACACCTGCAAGACCATGAGAACCAGTTATCGAATCTTTAGAAACTCAAAGGGTGAATTTCGCGGACTCACCATATTGACAGGGAGAGGTTAATTGAATAACCGGGCTTGTATCTCACAAGCATATTGCACATCCATGGCCCGGGTTGCTAGAGTTTAGGCCAATGGAGCTTGTCGGCTAATATGATGAAGAGTGCGGATATAAAAGGCTCCAATGTATAGTTTGGAGAGCAGTGTAAGGAGACCAAAGATGCTGTTCTGTGGACTTGGATCGTTGTCGAAAGCTGCAGAGCCGAGAAAAATAAAAAATAATGTAGGTTCGTTAACTCAGAGACGTGAAGGAAGACTGAAAGGTAAGGATGAGGGAGGCAAATAGCGGTCTGAGGGAACTCGAGTGCTGATGGAGTTGTGAGGGCGATTGACACTTCCCGGCCGCCTACACTATGGAAGGTCGTTCCCTTTTAGGGCACATGAAAAAGAAAATGTGTGTGACCGCAGAGCCCATAGGAAATCTGTTTGAGACCTGTCACATGCAGTCTTCAGTGGGATGTTGTTTTGAGATTTGTTTGTTCTAGCACTGGATAGAGAAAACCCATACTACTGACCTAAAAGACCGTGAGGCAGGGAAAAATGTGATATTTTTGGAGTCGACCTTTTCAAACCCCCTTCTCATAGAGAATGCAGCATCAGCGTGGCACTTCTGGCCATCCAAGGGAAACACCCTACTGCTGTCACACCCTATCCAGCTAGTAGCAGTATGACTTCACCTTCAGACACCTATCATAGTGTAGTAATTTACACCACAACGGTGGTTGCTCTTCGTCTTACTACTGTCCAACAGACCTTTCTGGTATGGTAGAACCTCGAGGGAACAAGCGTTCCAGCTAGCGTAGCTCGTTGGGTCATTGTGATATGCAGCCTCAAGCACCACATCAAGGTAGCAACTATCAGTTGGTTCTCGTGGATGACCAACAGTACCGTGCTAGTGCTGCCTTTCGTATGTGGAGGTTGGGGAGTGTAAAAATATCAACCCTGAAAATGGCATGCGCCACTATCTTGCAGTCTTTCAGTGCCTGTGGTATGTGTTTTTCTTCCGTAGCGTTAGAACAATCAAATCTAAAACACCACTCGTCAGAGGTCTGTATGTCACAGGCCTGAAGCAGAAGTCCTGAGGAGTTTGGTGACACTAATGTACTCCTTGATTCCCTTCATTAGTTACCTTTAAGTAACAACTTCGTTGGTGTGGACGACTGAAAGGTACCAACCACCTCCACGTTTCTAGAAGTATACAAACCTAATCTAACATAACCTACTCTCCTTATTTTCGTTTTCTCCTTTGCCTTCACTCCTTGATACCAATATTAGGGCTGTCACATATTCCTCACCTTGAAAGCATTGCTATCGACCATGACCAGAATAGTACCATTCCTAGTCTCCCGTAAACCTGCTGCTGGTTTGGAGCTGTCAACGTTTGAACCCTATGCCAAATCAGACAGCCAACACCTAAGAGTCTCAAGCCATGGATATATGTTGTGTTTCTGAGACATATATACAGGACTAAAGTGTATTTAATCACTTGATCCCACTGGGACAATGCGTTGAATCATTACTCTCTTTCCCAGTATCTGATGATTCAGGGGCTCGCTGCTGTCCGATTAAATAGGTTTGCGAGAACTAGAAAGGTTCTTGAGACTTACCGATGGCATTTCATTATCTCTGCCTACACGCTAACCGGCTGCAGTTCGGGTGATGCAAAGGATGAATTCTATTGCTTTTGCTACAATGCCAAACTCACTTAAGTGGCCATAATAGTAAATAGAAAGCCAATCGGAAAGGCATCAGCGAGGTATCTACACAATCACATGCCAACAAACTGACAATGGCACCGTCACACTTGGCGTCCCCCTACACCAAGCCAGCGATGGACACAGACCATATTTCTACCAGTCGTTGATGACAAAGGTCAGAAATCTGGCTGACTTGAAATATCGAGACAAGATTTTCCTGCCGGGTGAAAACGTTGACAAAATGCAGGGTCTTCTAAATGCGTTGAGGAAAAATCTGACTATGTTTGGTTTGCGTTTCACATTTGCCAAATGTAAAGTAATATGGAGTAAAGTTGTGGAATACATCAACCGCTTCTCTTGGTGAGTTGGGTCAGCTCAAACGGGCTGGTTGCTGACAAGATCTCAGCTCGGATACAGAAGGTTCGTTTGACATCTGCCAACTTGCGTCGTCTACGGCGTTGGCCGGTGAGATACCAGACTATTTATCAAAAGACGAGTATATACTCCACTGCAGTCCGTTCTGTTGTGTTATACGGCTGAGATATGGTCGTTATAAGTAGATATGAAGTGATTATGAGTTTTTCACCGTATGTGTCCCCTCAGCTCTGCTTAGATATGGTGGAATCATGATGTTACGAATGTTGAGTTTAGGCGAAGGGTGCTAGGCAAAAAAGGCAATTTAGTCAACGAGGTTGTGAACCTTCAGCGAATGAGGTAGGATAGATAGGTGCTGCACATTCTGAGCCACCACCTACCTTGATGTACCATGCTGGGGGAAGTTGGGTTAGGTTGGAAGAGGGTTCATGGTGGGCAAAGTGAAATGCGTCACCAGTCGATGAAGTGTTTAACTATTGTTCTGAGACGTATAAGGAGATGTCAACTACCTGACTGCGGTCACCGAAACAAAAGGGATCAGTAGTTGAAGACTCTTTCTGACATGGTTGAAAATTGGTCAAAATGGCACAGATGTGTTCACTTTTTGACGTCTAAAGCTTGAATGTTTTGGCTAACCTTCATTTTCAGATTTGTTCTCCTCCGATACACCTTTGTCTACTTGGACATGAGTCTTTTTCTGTCCACTTGTTCTTTGTATACCACTGTGAAGTGTGACAACTTGAGCTGATGCACTTCTGTGCTGCGTTCTACACTGATTTTGTCTATTTGTCTGTCAAATGAGAATCGGTGAAGGGTTTCAGCTCTTTCTACAGTAACTGCTTGTGATCCGATTACGCATTAGTATGGGCTCGTGTTTGGTTGCACCTTGCTGATCACGGAAAACAGGCTGCAGTAAAGCCTGTCTTTGCTCAATTGAAAGATGAGAATGTGAAGTACGCATTTAGGGAGATAGGTAAACGTTTATCTGAACGTGATAGCAATGCGTATCCTAAGGAAACCTAGTATGATATTCATCTTGCTGTTGAAGCAGCAGTAAATACAGCTGGTAACCTACGCCTAAAGGTTAGCAAACGTCATTAAGTTTCCATAACGTCATTCTAATTGACTGATGTTAGCAGCCTGATTCCAGTTGACTGTGACCGCGATGAAGAGCGAAAGCAGCTCTCGATGGCACCAAAGGTGACCAGATTGGTCTATGCCATCGGAAATCCCATCCGTCGCATTATCAGCACTGACACTTGCCCAGGTACACAACATCGTCAACAACTTTCAACCATTCAGCACCAATGGTGAGTGCAGGAACAAGCTGAAAGCACTTAGGACTTCGATGGTGCAAAGCGCATAACGTACTTATGGACGGTGATTGAGTGCGACTCGGGTAGTCTTTACTGTCTCACAGTGAAATATTATCGTCAACATTTTCGAGATCTAAGTCTCACCTAATAACAAGTCGACACCACCACCATCACTCAGTTCTTTCAAGAATGTCTCTAGAATGTCATCGGTGATAAAGTTAAAAAGAAATGGCGATATTGGGCATTCCTGCTTAACCTCACTATTGGTTTGGAATAATGGAGATAGGTAGTTGTGTACCTCCACTTTACATGAGGTGCTAAAGTACAGGTCTCTTAAGATGTTAATAAATTTCCCAGGGCCTCATCTCTGAGATCGATTCCGAGCCATATCACTTAGAGTTTCCACACATTCATTTCGGTTGTCACTCCAACCCTAAACCAAGAAGTCGACATTTCTCTACACAGCTCAGACAAACAATCCAATGCATCATAGACTGATGCCATGTTTTAGTTTAGTTGTTTGTAACCTCTTTTCAGCCTACACCTACTTCAGCTAAGATTGCACGATGCTGCAAACCTAATTAGTTATTTCAGCAGTTTCATCAATAGTCTTTAAATTTGCACGAGTTTATGCAACTTCTACCATGAGATGTTCTCTACCGCTTCACTTTGAGTTATGTTTTTCACTGAACTGAAAGGGTAATAGCAACTTTCTGAAGGCTCATACACAAAAAGTAAATCGTGATGACTTATCGAGTGATGGAGTTTTGAGACCCCTCAGAAAACGATTGGTTTTAGAACATACACTGATCTCCAGCAAACATTAGTACTTGGCGGCTTACTGTATTGTATATAACCACCTGGTTTGGTTCTATGAACGGGGTAAGGCTGCAATGTTGAATTAGTCTTTCTTGTTTCCTAATTTTTAGTACCTTGTATGATATACATCTTAGTGCATAGATGTGTCAGGTTTATTCACTAAATACGTACTAAATGATTTCTTATCACATTTTTAGACATAAATAGTCTGAAATTGGAGGAAAATGAATTTTTATCAGAAGATTGGCAGTGAAAGCTATTTTATCGATAGCATCACTCATAACAGTTTTATAATGTTCATTGTTTTACGTGAATATATCGGTTGTCTGTTGATATCGAATAGTTCTGTGGACAGAACACATTGTATAAATTCCAAGGAGAGAATCGATTTGTATATGTTAATGTATGAAATGCTAAAGGTTAATTCATTCATCTGTGTAACTGGAATTACTCATTTAAGGAAATATTGGTAATCCATTTGATATACTGAAAGATGATCACAATCGACCACACCTTCCTGCATATTTGAGACCAATTATTCAAGGTCGGTAAGTGTTGTCAAGCATAAATTATTTTGACAATAACTATTTACAATTGTTTAGCATTGAAAGATTACGCAATTATTACGAAGCTGTTGCTTATACAAATTTATCTACATTCAAAAATTTAATATTTTTAAAATTCGGAGATATTGGCAATGATGCAGACGAGGATAATGATGATGATGATGATAACGAGAATGAAATTAGTGATATGGGAGATAATAATAGTCGAAAAAAGTTTTTATTGGCAAAGGATAGCGTTTTTGGTAAGTAAGATTTTATTCTGATTGTTTTATTGATTTGGTTGGTCATCACGTTTAAAATAATAAGTAAGGCCTTATGAAAAATAGACGCATATACCTCGATATATGATATTGCTGGAATTGGTAACAGTAGACAGTTATTTAGACTTATTAAGGAGACTGGGAGGGAAAGGTCAACAACAGTTAGTGAAACTATAGTGGTGGACGATGGGTGTACCATTCACTCGCAAGGGAGACGACTGTAACGATGGGCAGAACACTTCGAGGAACAGTTTAACTGGCCTCCAGCCACCATTGCGTTGCCCACTCTCCATTCGAATCCTGACTGGAACATTGAGATAGGTCCCTCAACACCAACAGAAGTCGAGAAAGCTTCAGGTAACCTGAAACGAGGAATGGTGGCGGGACCAGACAGATTAACTGCTGAGGTATGCAAGGATGGTGGTAAGGTGCTCTTAGTTAGGTTAGCGGAAATGTTAACCAGTATATGGGAACCAAATATGATCCTCTCTTACTGGTCTTAATCACTGATTATCCCAGGCGAGAAGTCCTCTTGTGATAACCACAGAGAAATCAGCCTGACGAACAAAGTGTCTAAGGTTCTGGGTTCTGTAATTTCTCGACGCCTGAGTGGAGCTCAGGAACAGCGAGACTGAGGAAACCAGGCAGGCTTTAGACCAGGCCGAGAGTGTATCGACCAAATATTCACACTACGCCAGGTTCTGAAACACAGACACGCTTACCGACGCCCTACACTAGCTGTGTTTCTCGACCTCAAGGCGGCATTCGACTTCTTTGATCGAGAAGTCCTATGACAATATCTCTCACTGAAAGGTGTGCCAAGTAAGTACATCACCTTATTGAATGCTGTCTACTCGAACACTTGTGGACGTGTTAAAACCTATGGTGAGATGTCCAGGGAGCTATGCTCATCAAGTGGTGCCCGTCAAGGGTGTCCTCTCTCTCCATTCTTATTCAATTCTATCGTAGACATTCTTATGTAGGTCTCCCTCTCGTCACCTAATAACACAGAGGTTGACCTAATCACATGTGAATTTTCGTTAGACTTAGAATATGCAGATGACATAGTCCTGTTAGGTAAAGACGCTGACAAGATGCAGAGTCTTTTGAACACTTTGAGTGGGAATTTGAGAATGTTTGGGATGCGATTTTCACCACCCAAATGCAAATTGTTACTCAAAGGTTGGTCTTCAACGGTGCCCCATTGTGGCTAACAATAGAGAGTGAAGTGGTTGAGTGTGTTGACCACTTCACTTACCCGGAAAATAGGATCCCTGGTGAGTCAGTGGCCGATGAAATCTCTGCACGGATACAAAAGGCTTGACTGGCTTTTGCCAACTTACGCCACCTGTGGCACCGCCGTGATATCCGATTGTCTATTAAGGGTCGCGTGTACTGCACAGGAGTCCTCTGTGTCCTACTGTATAGCTGTGAAACATGACCATTGAAGATAGAAGACATGAGAAGGCTTCAAGTGTTTGACCACTGTTACCTTCGTAGTATAGGCCACCGTATTCCGTGGTGTCACCACGCGAGTAACGCGGAAGTCAGGTGTAGAGTTTTAGAGAGAAGAGGGTTGATGCGGTTGTGAACCTTCATTGACTGAAATGGCTGGCTGGGACATGTGTTACGTATGCTTAGTCATACAATGTTGGCCGAAGTAGGTTCAGGCTGAAAAAAGGCTCGAGGCTCTCGGCCAGACTAAAACATGGCATCAGTGCATTAATTGTTTGACTGTTGGTTTGAGCCATGTTGGGCGATGCAGACTGGGTGTTCGAGGTTCACAGGACAAGAGGAACCAGTGGTTGGAGACTACTCTAGGTGATATGGCTGAGAACCGATGTCAGTGGCACAGATGTATACATACACACATTATCCTCATCTTAACGACGCTATACTGAACCTCACCATTTTCTCATTCTTCCTTTCTCTCTTTTCGTACTTTATATTTCTTTTGACTGAATTTCCTTTTCTTCACCTCCCGCTTCACTGTCTTTTTACTTGATGTATTGGTATGAGATGTGGCAACTAGGAGGGTTACGCAGTAATGACTGGTCCTATGTTAATGGATGATGATGGTATATGATATTATGTGGGAGAATTATTGAGAAACCATATCAAGACGGGGACTATAAGCTTCTTGAATGAGAGTATTAGTTAGCTATTGTACCGTAATTAAAAGCAACGTATGTATACTCAAAAGTGTAGAATGGCTCACGAAATATATCATCAAATTGACTCTCTATGCTTTGTAACAGCATCGAAAGCAGAGAAATATTTAACCGAACAATAGTAATATTATTGCTTGGTGAGGAAGGAGAGCTGAAGATAAGTAAATTAAGCGTAATCAATTTTCATGATGTTTGAGGAGGCCTCTTGAACAATAATCTTTAGACTTCATCTTGATGACTAGCAGTAGAATCGAGGATGCATGTTTCGTCCTATTTGTGACTCACCTGCTAGATGTACCTGTACTTCAGTGAGTGATGTTGTTCCCACTGATACTCGAATCTAATACTGGTCACTTTAGACTTCATCCTTATAGGTAGCTAGGTTGTTTGAAAAGAGAAGAAGCAGAAAAGTAATAAAAGGTTTATCATCAATTCAGTCCTGTTAATTCAGTTAGAGTTTATAAGTATGATCATATGTGTTTTCGTGAATGTTCGGCATGCGGTGATCGGTTGTGTAGGTTTTTCAAGGAACTTTAGGCTTCTTCAAAAGATGTACACCCTGTAGCAGTTTTGTACTATGGTCTATCGACCCTTGAGTGTTCTATAAATTAGTTGTGTCTCAACTAGCATCACATAGGGTATATGATGTCCTTTCTACCTGTTTATTCTGCGTTCGATGTTTAGGGACTAATATATGTATTTCAGATGCATAATCTTTATGCATTTCGTTTATAATTACTTCGTTGAATAGGACTGTGCTGAAAAGTAGTTTAAGACTGTCGACACCTTAAAGCCTTTTACATACTTGAGAAATTATGCCTAAAAATTTCCAGTAAGGATAAAGCAGATCGAATCGATGGATTTCTGTTTCCAAATGGGCTATTTTATACACGGATGCCTTGATATTGTCTGCACATTCCTAATGCTTGCTCATTTACTTGATGGTAGCTACCAGAGGGATTCAGAATGAGCGTTTCATGCACATCCACACAGAAGCCTATTCATCAACGGTAATCTATCAATTTGATTCCCTATAACAAATATTAATATGTATAACAATAGGTGGTTCTCGTGTCTTAGTCGCCCAAAGGATGACGCTATGGTGTTCAAAGTGGATAGGTGCTGAGTTCACGTCTCAGTGGAGGAAATATCACACACTAGAGTTCAGGTATAGAGTCAGATGATGTGCCTCCTACATTCCACTTCTAACCACCACCAAGCAATACTGACGAACCCATTTACCAGCAGAAATGTACTTCATGCTTATTTCTGACACTAAGTAAATACGAAATATGATGCGTCTTGACTATTATTTGGCTTAAATAAGTCAAACGATTATGCATATGAGCAACAAGTTCACATTTAACAATATCATATTTCATGTTTCTGTCTTCCTTTAATGCATATATATATATATATATATATATATATATATATATATATATATATAATATTTCTAACCGCTTAAAGTGGCATACGCCAATCTGGGCCACGTTTGACGCCGTCGTGACGTTAGTCTGACCGTAAAAAGTCGGTTTACAACGCTTCGGTGTAAGCATTTCTGCCATATGCCTGTGAAACGTGGTCTTTCCTAGCTGAGAATGTGAAACAACTCTGTATGTTCGATCACCGTTGTCTTCGTAGAATTGCTCATATACGGTGACAACACTATGTAAGCAATTCTAAGATACGATAACATGTCTTTGGGCATGGTAGAGATTGTCATTCAATAAGTAAAGTCATCTGAAAACACTGGCTTCAGTGACTTGGACATGTGTTACGCATGTCATCCCAACGACTTCCATACTCTTCATTGTTTGCTAACCATAGAACTGGATGAAAGAAGCGAAGGGTGGTCATTATATGACGTAGCGCCGTGAGATGAAGGATGGTTGTATCGGATTAGCATCTGTTGATGCATCATAACACCCACCTTGGATGGGGTCCGAGAGATTACGCAACTCAGTGGCTTCAAATATCACTGAGAATCGTAACCAGTGGCAATCATGCTGTAGCTACCTTCTATCTTCTGCTGTTGAAAAGTAATGAATGCTTTGTTTGGAATGTATCTCACTGGACTTCCCTCTGATCATGTTAATCTTATTGTTTTCCTTTCTTACTTATCTACTTCCTATCGTTTATATCCTCACACTGTTATTATGCCATTTTTGTGTGAAGCATTTCTTCAGATGGTGAAAAGTTCCATCCTATCTCATCTAGTAAACACAGGGCATCACATGGATACTAATAAAGCTTTCAATATCATACATCGTGTGACACAAAACAATACCATGTGTAGTTCGCCAACGCCTACTCAACATATCTGAGGCTTTCATATTAAAATTGAGCAAACATGAACTGTAAATTCATAAGGATCATGTTCTAACATTATTCCTTCCTTGGCCTTCAGTAAACTAAAGGCCACTTATATCTTTGCTTTTTTGTTCACCATCACATTATTCATCTATGTAAATATATCATCTTAATATTCACAAAAACTGATTTTCTAAAAGTCTTTCGAATCTCACTTCATTTTTAAAATCTAATTACCCCTAACTTGGCTTGATTTCATGCTGTATAAATGGATTTTATAATTGTAGAACCTGATAAGAGAATATTTACTAAAAAGACTATTCTTCGTTCAGACTGTCTCTTTTTATTAACATTTTTTTGTAACAACCTCGCTTAGTGATCACGTAGATTTCAAAAAGTTCATGTAACTATATAATGGCGGTCAACATTTTCAAGTACAAGGGGCTTTAAAAGGCACTACAGCAACTACTGAAATATTCACTTGAGTTGTTTTTTGAAAAAAAAAACTATTATTTCATCTGGAATGACTATAAATGGTTGCTTATTTCATTGGTTAGTGGAGTAGGCTTAAGAGTCAAATCTGAAGTACACTATAACCTTCGTGTTATAACTGCAAGAAACTTATATCCTCTTTGTTATGTGTTCTGGCTGTTCACTTCAAGACATAATTATGACACTGTCATATGATCATGCCTTCTTATATGCCTCACTGGTTGCGTATAACCACATTTGCCTAGGCTTTGTTAAGCTTATGAGACGCAAATCGTAGCAAACATAAGACTGAGTGACTCTGAAGGACCACCTTAGAGAGTTGTGTGAGCAGTTCTGTAAATGAATTAGTCTTAATGTCGATTTGAAATAAAGAATGTTGAGTTCTTCGGAAAGAAGATAAGTCAATCGATGGTGTTTTGAATATCCACCGACTGAAGTAACTTGGTCATGTGTTGGATATGTCGAGTCACCGTCTACCTTGATGTATGATGTTAGCTGAAGTTGGTTTAAGTTGAAAAAAAGCTAACGAAGGGAGACTTAAACGTGGCATCAGTCGTTTATGTTTGTTTCTGCTGATGTAAGCAGTTCAGAGCGGTTAAACTACCTTACTTAAACTCTTACGATGATAAGAATCAGTGTTTGAAGGGTGTTAGTGTCATACTATCGAAATCGACTACAATGGCACAGTTGTATACACCGTCGTCTATTGTCTGAGAAATTTCGTACATTTTACTAACTTTGATTTATTCATTCCCTCTTCTGTGCTACACTTTTGTCTATTTCGCTATGATTATTATTTTTCTGAGCACTTACTGTTTGTGTTCTGCTATGCGATGTGGTAATTTGAAGTGGTGCACTTCTGTACGAGTTTCTGCGTTGATTTATCTGCCTATATTTTCGTATAACTGATGTTAGAACGGAATGTACTATTTTGTACTACGTTTGATACCATTTTAACATCAAGTATCTAATACTGTGGTATCTAATGTTTTACTCGGTGCCTTAGAAGTTGCTCTGTATATATGAAGGTCGTTTCGTGGCTGTTCGGTCACTGTTGTCTGTGTAGCATCACTTGCATACAGGCAAACACCGAATAATGAACGCTTTGTTTGATTTATATTCACGCATAACAATGTTCCAGCTCTTGTTTATTGACGCTTGTACTTTTCCGTTACTAAACTGGGTCGAACTGCACGACCTCTGTTGGCAAATAGGCTCCTTATGAGGATGCTTCAATGCTGCTTATTTACTCATTATATTGTAATCTACTTGGTGGCTAGCAGTGGAATCTAGGACATGCGTTTTATCCCATTTAGGACTTGTTAGCTGGGTATATCTGCATCCCAGTGAAGGATGTTGTTCCCATTGAGACTCGAACCTCGTATCCATTACTTCAAACGCCAAAGCATTATGAATTGGGGCACGATAGTGGATAATGGTTTGGCGTTTGAAGTGATAGGTACGAGGTTCGAGTTTCAGTGGGGACAACACTCACTGGAATGCATGCACATCCGGCTGATAAGTCCTAAATAGGACGAAATGTGGATCTTTGATTCCATAGCTAGCCGTCAAATAGACTGAAGTGTTTCAGCTATCCTATTCGTAGTAATCAGGTCACTAGTTTAAGCTGTAAATACATTGGGCCAGTGTAACACGTGGCCTGTATCTTCAGCCTTTAAACACTTAGCGTCTGCTAATTTGGTTCTTGAGAATTTACTAGGTCGGTATATGGTATTAAGATGTAATTCTCCCAACTGATGAGGTAAACAGTCGACCGTTTAGACCAGTGAGCCGTAGATTCCTATATAGGATCATAATGGAAACAGTTTCTTGTCTTAAACATTGATAGTAGCACAAAACGTGTGACATCTAATGAAAGTTTCTTCGTAATCATTTTCTTGCAACGGTTTTCCTTTTTCCTTCCGGTAATTCCTGTTGCGTTTTATCTTTTCTCTTTTCTTCTGAAGTTAAGTCGTTTTACAGTGTAACTACGAATGTTATAACTGTTTTTTATTGTATTGTGAAAAGAAATTCTTTCTAAATTCTTATTTTGTAGGCTTATTTCTAAGAAAATTTGCTCTTGGATTCTATTCTCAAAGTTTTGAGAAAATGATACAATTTTTAGATTCATTTTATGAAGCTTATGATAATCAGATAACTAACAATGTTAACAGAATCAATATGAAAGCAGGAAATGAACATAAACGAATGGATTCGTCTTCTACTTCATCTACTTGGCCTGAAAATGATTCAATTGTACATAATTTTGCTCATTCATTTAAAAGAGATCAATATTTGATATCTACGTAAGTTATTTCACTCTATAGTACTATCAAGATGTTCATCTAGCCTATTCATTAAGGAACTTAATGAAAATGCAATATATATATATATATATATATATATATATATAGTAGCATCAAGAACAAGATATTCAGCGAAGAGACTCTTTTCAAGGAATTTATTTTCAAGCTGTTCAATTGTATATATATGATATTTGGAAAAAATTATATCCTGTGAGGAAAACTAAACACTATATGGTGATGACAATAATAATAGAGCGGGTGATGACATAGGCATTTGTGATTATTAGATTTTTGAGGGGTTTGTGGAGATTTGGAAATATTTCAAGTTGTTATTCATCGAAGACTGACATCAGTTGGAGGAACAAAGGAAACCTGGGAGCACTGGACAGCTGTTTCGTCCTAGTATGGGACTCCTCAGCAGTGCGCACCCACGACCCCACCAGCAGGGATGGAACCCGTGACCTTCAGGTTCCGTGGCCAGCGCGTTACCATTGAGCCACTGGGTCAGAATCCAATGCTCCATATTTCCAACTTCTGTTAGCTCACGATATAGCGCGAACCGCCACCCAATGTCATCGTTGAGTATTTGTCCTCACGGCCATCAGGCTTTGACTCCACCGGTCACGACTTGTCATTGGAACTTCGGGAATACTTCTCGAAGCTAGTCACCAACGAGCACTAGTTCAATTAAATTTTTGAGGGGGTTGTGGAAATTTGGAAATATTTCAAGTTGTTATTCATCGAAGATTATAATAACAATTGAAGTGCGAATGGTAACAAATAGATTATGTAATATATGGAATGGTACTCAGAAGGGGTTGAAAAAATTGTTGAAAATGGTAAATCAATTAAGTATTATGTAATGGCATTAGACAAGTTGGACAAGATGAAGTCAATGTTTTCTAAAAGGATTAAGACAGTTAAGTGAAACAACACCGGAAACTAATTAAAGTGAAGGCGATTATAATAACAATAAAGGTTAAATTAACAAAGTGGGAGGAGTGCTAATGGGGTGGGAAAATGTTATGGCCATGATAAAGACAGTCACTGCACATACTTCTTTTGTACATACAGATCAGGTCTTAGTTCATGAATAGCTAAAGCCTCCGCTGTTTTAAGGAGTTGAAAACGAAGAGAACGTGGGAGGTTTGGGCGAATTTGATAAATAATTTCAAAGTCATCGTCTGGATTTGTTGTGATGGAGGTCAATCAAATGTTCTAGAATCGAACTTCTAACAGACTTTCTTTCACCTTTATAAAACCAAGCAGGAACATGTTCTCGTATGCGTGTAGAAAGCATTCTCTGGCTACGGCCGATGTACCTTGTTCCATAAGAGCAGGTGAACTGGTAGATGCATGTCTAATGCCATTACATAATACTTAATTGATTTACCATTTTCGACAATTTTTTCAACCCCTTCTGAGTTATATACTCTCTATGTACCATTCCATATATTACATAATCTATTTGTTATCATTCGCACTTCAATTGTTATTATAATCACAAATGCCTATGTCATCACCCGCTCTATTATTATTGTCATCACCATATAGTGTTTAGTTTTCCTCACAGGATATAATTTTTTCCAAATATCATATATATACGATTGTACAGCTTGAATATATATATATATATATATATATATATATATATATATATATATATATATATATAGTTGTAATTTTTGAGAGCATGTGACTCGAAGAGATTGGAATCATTTGTCTGTCTGTCCATCTATCTGTACAATCACTCACATGCTCGTGGAGTCATACTGTCGGTTTCCAGTGTAGCGCTCTTTGTTACAATGGATAACGTGTTTGTTGAAATTGCGAAATGAGATAATTGTAAACCAGTATTGAGTATCTACTTAGTTAAACATATCATACTGATTACAGTGAATTAGGGTTGAAGAAACCACCAGTGAGGTGAACAAATGATATAGGTTGTATGATCTACCTAAAGTACACAAACCTGAACCCCCTCTTCGTCAAGTTTTAGACACGTCTAACTCCCTATACCAGGCAGTTGCTAAGTGGCTAGTAAAGATTTTAGATCCCTTACACAAAGAATTAGTTAACCACAGTGTAAAAGACGTCTTTGAACTTATTTCTAAGCTACATAATACGAATGTAAACGGAAAACATATGATACCGCTTGATGTCTCATCCCTATTCACTAATGTGCAATTACTGGAAACGGTGGAGTTTATATGTCAACAAATATCGGAAAGGCAAATAAATACCGGAATTCCAATACACATCCTCAAGGAGTTGCTTCTTAGATGTACCAGGAGTGTAAATTTTGTCTTCCATAGCTCTCATTATAGACAGATTGATGGGATAATTGTGGGTTCACCACTCGGCCCTATTTTAGCTGATATATTTCTTGCCAAACTGGAGGACGGAGCATTAAACGATGTCTTTAATGAGATGAATATGCATCACCGTTATATTGACGACAACTTCATTATCCTGGAACAGAATAGGAATACAGAAGAGGTGTTAAGAAAATATAATGAGGTACACCTTCCATTCACTTTCACTTGTGAGGAACAAAATGCCAGTAAACTACACTTCTTGGATGTTCTGCTAAGTAGAAGAGAAGATGGCTCATTCAGCAGATGTGTTTACAGGTAGACTACATCTATAAGTCAGTGCACACATCTTCCTGGTCCCGTACCCATTCAGTGCAAAGCAAACCTGGTTAAATGCCTCACTAAAAAAGCGAGAAGAATATGTTTGAATAATTTGGTACAGAAGGAGTTAGAATATGTTCGTAATTCACTGGTCTAAATGGGCTACCGTAGCAGTTTCATAAAAAGACACATAGACAAAGCCAGGGGAAACAAACTTGGAATCATTGCCGTACAAAAAAGACTGTTGTTCATAAAGTTACAGTTTAATGGAGATGTAGCCGGGGAAGTTTTATATCTGAGACTCTCTAGAGCCATTAAGAGGACTTTCTACGCCGCACAACCCTGTCTATGACTTTCCAGTCGACCAATCGCTGTTGCTCAGACAAAAGATAAATTATCTAGTTTCTCCATTTCTATGTGTATTTACAAGTTTAGCTGCTTCTGTGAAGAAAGCTATATAGAGCTTAGTACTAGAAAACTTAACAGACATGTTCTTTAGGATCTACTTTCATGATTTGGAGAGGGACAGATAAAGTCCGTTAAAAGTTCGGTTTTATCTCATCTTGTTGATAGTGGTCATTTGGCAGATAAGAACAATGCTTTCACGATTATTCACTGCATACTATCTCATCTTTCTAAAGTTATTCGAACTCGTCGTTTACACCACATAGCAGAAACTGTGAGGATTCAAGCTAATAATTCTAGTCCAGAAGAAATATCTACGTCCCTTTTCTTCTCTTTGGCCAGGAAAAAACCTAATTAATAACTTTATCATTTTGCTATCTGAGATAGCCGTAGTTTGGCAGACTGGTGTTTATACTGGGTGGTGATTGAAAGTGAGATGAAAATTTGGACCGCGACCTAATTCGAACCAGTGACCATCGGACCTCGTGGCTAAGTTGGTAGAGCATCGGGCCGGAAACCTGGTGGTCACTGATTCGAATCCTGCTGTGGTCCAAATTTTCATCTCGCCTTCAATCATCACCCAGTATGGTAACTTTATCGAGATTTTTTCTACCCCTTTCATATACTAACTGTATTTGTTTAGACTTTGTTTATCAACTTACCTCGCCCTTCAGTATTAAGTAACTTTTATTTTCTCAAGCTTTTGACCCACTTTTATTATCGGAGTGTCTACATTTTTGTACTGCTTTCTTGGTTCTTATCATCATTATCACCATCTATATTGTATATGCTTGAGTCAACACTATCACTTTTATTATTTGTATTGTTATCACCATCGTTATTTCAAAACACTTATCATATCAATACTGGGTGATGATTGAAGGTGAGATGAAAATTTGGATCGCGGTTGGATTCAAACTAGCGACTACCAAGTTTCCGGCCCGATGCTCTACCAACTGGGTTACGAGGTGATTGATGTGAAATAAAATCTGATCATCAGTTGGACTTCGTAGCTCAGTTAGTAGAGCATCGGGCCGAAAACTCGACGATCGCTGGTTCGAATCCGGCCACGGTTTAAATTTTAATTTCACCTTCAATCATCACCCAGTATAAATACTAGTCTGCCAAACTACGGCTATCTCAGACAGTCAAATAATATATATCACATTAACTGATAAATCTACATAGTTAGTTTTATATATGTTAAGCTGTCTGTATTAGAGTAAAGCTTGAAGAGGATCTAATCGAAAGCAATATTGTTCACCTATATATCTTGTTCTAATTATTAGTAAGAAGTAGTTTCTATGGCGTAAACATAACCGTTTTCAACTGCTTAGATTGAAGTGGATCCAATGTGTGGGCGTGTGAAAAATTGAACTGAAACGCATTCATCAACCCTGTTCACATCTATGCAGCACACAATGTACGAAACCTGTTGTGTGTAAGGATTCATGATACTACCTGACTGACCAAATCTCAGTAGATGGAGTGGGACTCGAACCGTGACTCACTGTTTGAAAATTATCTCCCCAAACCAATCGATCATAGCTCTGTGTGTATGTGTTTTGTGTTATCGGCCAGGTAAGAGTCGAACTCTTAGAAAAATAAATCACTGCTGCATTAATTCTTCAAACTTATCAGGCGAAGAACCTGCAGTTCACCTTATTTCTAGAATTAATTCCATTCTGATTGGATGCGTTGTCTTTATTTTATAGTAGTAAAGTGAGATATACTGAACCAGTACACTATAATCCATCAATTTTACTATATTTTCACTAAGGCTTGTGTTGTCAGCATACCGTAAACTAAGTAGTGATTACCAACTGAGAACTATTGAAACGCCAGAGTAACCATCATCTTGGAGAGACTAACGGATGCGCTGGATTCAAAACTACAACCGGAATAGGCTGGATTCAAGAAGAACAAATCATGTGCACACCAAATTGCAACGCTACACCACGCATCATCATAGAACACAGTATAGAATAGCAGTCAATCCTCTACACCTCAACTTCATCCACTTTGAAATGGCCTTTGACAGCGTCGACCGAGAAGGTAATTTGGAAACTGCTTCAATACTACAGAATACCGCAAACCTTTATCAACCTCATTCAACAACTAAATGAAGACGCCACATGGCAGCCAAGTAATTCACAATGGGAAGCTAGCTCAGTGACGCCTTTGAAGTGAAGACAGGGGACAGGAGTGAGACAAGGCTGTCTGTCTACTATCCCCCATGATATTCCTGATTGTGGTCGACTGGACTGGATCATGCAGCAAGCAGTGGGGAGCTGTGAGAAGAGGGGGATACGCCGGCTGGACTGTGGAAAAGAACCTAGAAGATCTGGATTTCGCCAACGATGACTTGTGCCTGATGTCACACAAACTTGAAGATGTATAGGCGAAAGTTAACAAGTTGACAGAAGAGGCGAGGTAAGGCGAGGCGAGGCGAGGTAAGGCGAGGCGAGGCGAGGCAACGAAGACGGGACTTCAAGTGAACGTGGAGGAAACAGAGGTGATGAAGATACCGCACCAACAACTCCAACTCCAACAACAACAAGAAGAAACTGCAATCACCATGAACGGGAGAAACTTAAAGGAAGTAACCTCGTTCACCTATCTAGGCAGCACTGTTTCAACTACACGTGGTACAGATGAGGATGTCAAAGCCAGCCAGCTAGCCAGCCAGCCAGCCAGGATGGGAAAGACAGTAAGACAGGCGTTGATTAGCCTGAAACCAGTGTGGAGATCTCCTGCACTCCACTCAGCATAAAGCGTGAACAACATCCGGATTTTCAAGACCAATTGAGTCAAGTCAGTCAGTGCTTCTATGTGATGGTTGAGAGAGTTGGGGGTTACGAAAGGGATTTGCAATAAACTAGAGACATTCATCAACAACTGCCTACTCTGGCTCGTTACTGAAGCTGAGATGGCCAGAATAATAGGAATAAGTAAAAAAGGAACTCTGGCTTGCTGGTTGGCTGGTAACGAGCCAACCAAGAAGCTATCGCTGAACAAATATGCAGTAGAAGGAAGTGTAGATGGGTTAAGCATACAGTGAGCTGGGTGACTGTGGACATCAGGTGGCAGGCCAGGTCGTCGAGTGGGACCCGGATGGGAAGCGACGAGTTGGGCGTTCCAGCTGAGTTGAGGGTGACATGGAGGAGATGATGTGAGGAGGAAATGAGAGCTTGTGGGCAGTGGTGGAGCCAGGTCGGTAGGATTTCAGAGAACAGAGTGGAATTGAGACGTGCTACTGAAGCGGTATGTCCCATTAGAAACTCAAGGGATAAATAATAATAATAATAATAATAATAATAATATAATATAATAATAACCAACTGACTGACTGGATGTCATGTGTTGATTAGCTTGAATATTTTCTTTTGTCACTATTGATTAGGACATTTGAATAATACGATAGAATGTAGACAAAAGTCTTCTAAAGTTGAATATAATTGTTCTTTGTATTCATTATTTTATTTTCATCATCTATTTTTTTTAAGTCGTAATCAAGCATTGGAAGTATGTTCAGGAATTATTGATTCTGTAGGCAAATTTGGTGGACGTCCAAATATTAATCTTCAAAGGTATAATGAACTTTTATCATTAGCAAAGAAAATGTATCCTGAATTGTCATATACTGTAAGTTCTTCTTGTATTATTGATGAACACTCAAATTCCTAATCACATAAATATGAATGCAATATGATAAGCTGAGTCATACTAGTATGAGAACCTGGAATAGTACCCCATCACTTGACCCAATGTCGTTCCTACTGTTTAGCTTGTTATTGTATAAACAGTTTTGAGTGTTTAGTTAATTAAATTATCAAAGATAAACCTTTATGAGAATTCATATTCATTCAAATATCCGAACCGTTATTTACCCACTGGTGAAGTCGAAGGCTTTAATACTGAGCTATTCAAGCTCTCATCAACCTTCTATATGACTTGACGATACACGTTAATCGGTAACACTGAAGAGTCACAAATTTTCATGATCATTTTTGTCAATTGTACGTGAAGTTAAAAGACTCGTCATTGTAATGCTTGTTTGATTGATATTCGCTAGTTGTAGAGAGTTGATTGAAAAGCTTGAACCTAGGTTTGGTATCTGTTGACATTCATCACTAAGATGTATCCAAAATATTGAGGAACTTATATGAATGGCTTCTTGTCGATTGCTTTCAACAATCAATCAAAAGTGTATCATGATAATGAGTCTCTTAGCTGAGTGATCTTACTTCAAAGTAAATCGATTGAATTCGATTGGCACTTTTATAACTCTAGATAACATGAAATTTATAACTTCTCCAATGACCAGTCAGTGAATTGAAGCAATAGCCATTATCATTTGAGTAAAATGAAGAATTAATGACTGGTGTTTATTTTTTAGAAATTCAGCTTATAGAACACTGCATAGGTGATATCAAGTCTGTTCACATGGCATTTTTCATCACCTTGTGTTTCACTCATATTTCGTTAGAGTTATCACAAAGGATTTTGGATATTTTTCTACTTTTCTAAACAACAGCCTACACGATAAGAAACATCGATAATGTTCAGTGTTTCATTCCAGTAAATACTATCAGTATCTAGTATGTTACGATGATAGTGTAACATCGACAAGGTTAGGTTTTCAGTATACAATCCAAGTTTGAAGTCTGTTTTACCTGTCTACTTTTTTATTTATTGTGTCAATCTTCATACTTCCAACAATTTGTATTGATTATGCAACCCTTCAACCTCGCCTGGTTAACAAGTTCACTAGTTACTAGCCGGTCCTAAGCCCGGACTAAAGAGGGAAGGTTGGGCATAGGGCTACCAACCCTACCTCGTAAAAAAAATCTGACCGCTAAAGAAACTTCAAAGCACAAAGAAAATATAAAAAATGGAAACAAACTTATTCCCCGCTGGAATCGGAGAGGCGAAATGACGCCAGTTGGTGAAAGCCTTCGGGAAGCCAATTGGCCGATGTGTCTCCTCTTCCTCGATGAAAGCGAAAGTAAACGTGGGGACATGGAATGTCCGTACGATGTTTGAACCCAGTAAGGCTGCCCAGATTGCAAAGGAGATGAGAAGGTATCACATCGAAGTGCTTGGGATTTGCGAAAGCAGATGGAATGGGAGTGGACTCTCCAAACTTCAACTGGAGAATTTTTTCAATAATCTACTCCGTTTTTGTCACCCAGACGCCAACCATGAGCACACTGAGAATTTTAGTGGCTATCATGATGTCCTCAAGAGCATCGAAGGCTCTCATGCAGTGGGAACCAATCTCCTTGTGTTTTGGGATCATGACAGCAAGATTCAACTCAAAAGGAAGAAAGGTCACAATCATACAATGTTATGCATTTTTCCTACAAATAATGCAGAGCAAGAGAAAAAGGAGGATTTCTACAGACAACTTGAATCAACACTGGACAAGACGTCAGTTGGCGATATCAAAATTCTAATGGGCGACATGAATGCCAAACTGTGAGGGGACAACACGGGAAGAGAACTAACCATGGGTCGAGAGGTGCTAGGTGAAATGAATGAGAATGAAGAATTGTTTGCAGAATTCTGGGCATTCAACGATTTGGTGATTGGAGGCAGTGTGTTCAAGCACAAGGAAATCCACAAGACGACATAGATTTCACCAGACGGACACACTAAAAGTCAAATCGACTTTATCTCAATCTCAAGAAAGTGGAGACGCAGTCTACTTGACACAAGGTCAAGAAGAGGAGCAGATGTAGGTTCAGACCACTATCTAGTGCAAGGACCTTACCTTCCAAATCAAGTTAAAAGCCTTCAAGGAAGCTGGTGATAGACCTCAATTCAAGTACAACACTCGGAAACTGAAGGATGAAACTACAAAGGAGATCTTCACGGCAGCCATCAAGACAAAATGGGAGATATCGAGAAACATCTTTGAAGAAACCTGTGTAGAAGAACACTGGAAGTCTTTGAAAGCTATGTGGAAAGAAACCTGCACAACAGTATTAGGAAGGAAGAAGAAAGAAGATAAGGAATGGATCTCGACGGATACCTGGAAGCTGATAGAGGAGAGGAGGATGGTGAAGCAGAAGATAAACCAGTGCAAGGATGCTCAACGACAAGAGGAACTGAGCACAATGTATAAAACACTGAACAAAGAAGTGAAGAAGAGTGCACGCAAAGACAAAAGACACTTCCACGAAACACTGGCAAGTGAAGCAGAACAGGCTGCAGGTAAGAGAGACCTGACAACATTGTATCAAATAACCAGGTTGCTATCAGGGAAGAGACCAACACAGATGAAACCAATAAAAGATGAAGAAGGAAATTTAATTACAAAAGAAGAGAAACAGAGGAAACGATGGGCCGACCACTTCAAGAAGCTCTTGAATCGACCACCACAACCACCTGCACTTCGTCCAGAAATACCACCTGCAGCCGCTGAACTACAAGTGAACATAAATACCCCAACGGAAATGGAAGTCCTGAACGCCATAAAGCTACTGAAATGCGGGAAAGCAGCAGGACCAGATGGGATCCTGCCAGAAGCACTGAGAACAGACGCAGAGACAACAGTGGACATGCTCACACCACTATTGCAGAAGGTGTGGAAGGAAGAGAAGGTACCTGGTTTTTGATTGGAAGAAGGGTTACCTTGTCAAACTGCCGAAGAAGAGTTTTAGACCTGAGTGCTTGCAAGAACTGGCGTGGAATCACTCTCCTGTCCACCCACAGCAAGTAAAATATTAAGCCGCATCATCCTGGAGAGACTAGACGATGCACTGGATTCAAAACTGCGACCAGAACAGGCAGGCTTCAGGAAGTACAAATCATGTGCAGACCAAATTGCAACGCTTCGCATCATCATAGAACAGAGCATAGAATGGCAATCAGCTCTCTGCCTCAACTTTATCGACTTTGAGAAGGCCTTTGACAGCGTCGACCGAGAAGTAATTTGGAAACTGCTTCAATACTACAGAATACCGCAAACCTTTATCAACCTCATTCAACAACTAAATGAAGACGCCACATGGCAGCCAAGTAATTCACAATGGGAAGCTAGCTCAGTGACGCCTTTGAAGTGAAGACAGGGGACAGGAGTGAGACAAGGCTGTCTGTCTACTATCCCCCATGATATTCCTTATTGTGGTGGACTGTATCATGCAGCAAACAGTCGGCAGCGAGAAGAGGGGGATACGCTGGACGGCGGAAAAGAACCTAGAAGACTTGGATTTCGCCGATGACTTGTGCCTAATGTCACATAAACTTGAAGATCTGCAGGCAAAAACTAACAAGTTGATAGAAGAGGCAGCGAAGACGGGACTTCAGGTGAATATAGAGAAGACAGAGGTGATGAAGATACCGCACCACCACCATCAACAACAACAACAAACTCCAATCACCGTCAACGGGAGAAACTTGAAGGAAGTAACCTCCTTCACTTATCTAGGAAGCACTGTTTCAACTACAGGTGGCACATGCACAGACGAGGAAGTCAGTCAGCCAGGATCGGAAAGACAGCAAGACAGGCGTTCATTAGCCTGAAACCAGTGTGGAGATCTTCTGCACTCACTCAGCATAAAGCGTGAACAACATCCGGATTTTCAACATCAACGTCAAGTCAGTGCTCTTGTATGGTTCAGAGACTTGGCGCGTCACGAAAGGCATTTCCAATAAACTACAGACATTCATCAACAACTGCTTACGCTGGCTCGCTACTGAAGATCAGATGGCCAGAAAGAATAAGCAACAAGGAACTCTGGGAACGAACCAACCAAGAACCTATCACGCAACAAATATGCAGGAAGAAGTGGAGATGGATTGGCCATGCACTGAGAAGGCCGACTGAGGACATCACGCGTCAGGCCAGGTACTCGAGTGGAATCCCCATAGGAAGCGACGAGTTGGATGTCCGAGGTGAGGGTGACATGGAGGAGGTCGTGCGATTAGGAAATGCGAGCTTCTGGTTTGTCGTGGAACCGGTTCAAAAGATCTCAGAGAACAGAGGTCACTGGAGACGTGCTACTGAAGCCCTATGTTCCACTAGGAACCCAAGGGACAAATAATAATGATAATAATGCAACCCTTCTACTGGCACACTCATTCACTTTACTTTGATTGACAGTGTCATCTATCGAACTTGTCAAGTCAAGCCGAGGAGTGGGAGGACAAAAACAAATATCAACATAATTATTATTATTATTATATTATTAGTCTCTTGGGTTCCTAATGGAATATAGGGCTTCAGTAGCACGTCTCAATTCCACTCTGTTCTCTGAAATCTTTTGAACCTCGCTCCACGACAGCCCAGAAGTTCTCACTACCTCCTCACACCATCTCCTCCATGTCACCCTCAACTCAGCTGGAACGCCCAACTCGTCGCTTCCCATCGGGGTCCCACTCGAAGACCTGGCCTGATGCGTCATGTCCTCAATCCGCCTTCTCAGTCCATGCCCAATCCATCTCCACTTACTTCTACTGCATATTTGTTCAGCGATAGCTTCTTGGTTGGCTCGTTACCAGCCAACCAGCAAGCCAGAGTTCCTTTTTTACTTATTCCTATTATTCTGGCCATCTCAGCTTCAGTAACGAGCCAGAGTAGGCAGTTGTTGATGAATGTCTCTAGTTTATTGCAAATCCCTTTCGTAACCCACCAACTCTCTCAACCATCACATAGAAGCACTGACTGACTTGACTCAATTGGTCTTGAAAATCCGGATGTTGTTCACGCTTTATGCTGAGTGGAGTGCAGGAGATCTCCACACTGGTTTCAGGCTAATCAACGCCTGTCTTACTGTCTTTCCCATCCTGGCTGGCTGGCTGGCTAGCTGGCTGGCTGGCTTTGACATCCTCATCTGTACCACGTGTAGTTGAAACAGTGCTGCCTAGATAGGTGAACGAGGTTTCTCCCGTTCATGGTGATTGCAGTTTCTTCTTGTTGTTGTTGTTGTTTCTGTTGTTGGAGTTGGAGTTGTTAGTGCGGTATCTTCATCACCTCTGTTTCCTCCACGTTCACTTGAAGTCCCGTCTTCGTTGCCTCGCCTCGCCTCGCCTTACCTCGCCTCTTCTGTCAACTTGTTAACTTTCGCCTATACATCTTCAAGTTTGTGTGACATCAGGCACAAGTCATCGTTGGCGAAATCCAGATCTTCTAGGTTCTTTTCCACAGTCCAGCCGGCGTATCCCCCTCTTCTCACAGCTCCCCACTGCTTGCTGCATGATCCAGTCCAGTCGACCACAATCAGGAATATCATGGGGGATAGTAGACAGACAGCCTTGTCTCACTCCTGTCCCCTGTCTTCACTTCAAAGGCGTCACTGAGCTAGCTTCCCATTGTGAATTACTTGGCTGCCATGTGGCGTCTTCATTTAGTTGTTGAATGAGGTTGATAAAGGTTTGCGGTATTCTGTAGTATTGAAGCAGTTTCCAAATTACCTCTCGGTCGACGCTGTCAAAGGCCATTTCAAAGTGGATGAAGTTGAGGTGTAGAGGATTGACTGCTATTCTATACTGTGTTCTATGATGATGCGTGGTGTAGCGTTGCAATTTGGTGTGCACATGATTTGTTCTTCCTGAATCCAGCCTATTCCGGTTGTAGTTTTGAATCCGGTGCCTCCTTCAGTTATGAAAATACATGTATAGTTACTTAATAGAAGATGAATCTATGACAGTCAGGGCTTTATGATGGCCATGACAGAGATGAAGGTTGGATGTACCTTTTTTGGACACACAACGCTGTTTTGAACTTGTGGATGGCTAGTGCTCCAGCTGTAAACAAATGCATTGTTCTTTCTCACTTCGAGTGGTTTGATCAAACGGTGTAGAGGATTTTGATTAAGCTCTCGAAAGGAACTTAGTGACCTGAGTTCACATGATGTTCTCTTATTGAGCTAAAGATACATTTCCACTATCTCTTTGCCAGCCAGGCTGCGTAGTATTCACAGGCACGTTTTAAAAGTGGACGCATAGTACGGTCAATGTATCCAGCTCCATATGAGCAAGTAAACTGGTATATACACACTTATGTAGCCCAATGCGTTGGCTTGCCTTTCACACATTGATCAAGAGGTTTCTTGCAGAAGATAATTCGGAGGTTGGTGGTGAAGTATGTTCTGTTTATGGATTTTGACAGTCGTTTCCTAAGGATGTGTGCACCAGCGTTATACGTCCAACCTTTGTCTTTGCTATGGCTATCATAAAGCCTTCACCGTCATAGATTCATCTCTGTATTAGGTAACTTTACACGTATTTCCATAATCCCTTATTTTTTTTCCTGCGCTGTCATAGATTTAACTTGCATTACGTAATTACAATTTTATTCTCATATTCCACTGTCTATTTTCTCACTGTAAACCCATATATGTGTTAATTAACTTCCCTTAGTTAGTTATTCAATATATTCTGCCCTCTGTAACATATATTCATGAATGTACAGTCTAGTAAATGACTTCGTTGAAAAGAAAAGAAATTTCTTCTCTGCAACCACGCCTTGTCTTTTGTATGTGTTGTCTTTTTTCCTGATTGGTTACCACTAGGTTTTTGATTGATTTTATGTATATTGTGGACGTTTATAGTTGTTTTGGTGGCTTAAATCAGCCATCTGTAAAACATACTAAGCAATCAAAGTCATCATTGTAGCGAAGACAATGTCCATGTTATAACACATACCAAAAACGCATAAACGATTACATCACATCCCACTGTGTTTATCAATTTACATGTAAGTGTATCCACACATATATAGAGAGGAGTAATCGTGATATTTCAGTTAAGGATGGTTGAACAAGTACACCTAAGTGGCTTCAAAAACAAATGAACTCAACAGATCCGTTAAGTGTGCAGGTGAGAGACGTTCATCTTCATCTATTGTTAAACACATACTAGAAACTAATCACAAGGTAAACATGAAAACAACCTTTAAAGTACTACATAAAAGTGGTCAGTGTCGAGTGCTTAAATGTATTGAAGCTCTTGTCGTCTGTAAATTTAAACCCCCTTTATGTATACAAAAACAATTTGTACTCACACTGAACTTGCCTTCGTAGTATTGATTTTAATTTTCATACCAAGAGTAATGTATTGGCATATGGGCTCCTATGCGGATGTTTCAATATTACCTGTCTTTTAACTATGTATGGTAACGATGGCGAGTCCCAAATAGGACGAAATGCGCATCCTGGGTTCCACTGCCAGCCACTGCCCATCATTACTATAAAAAGAGTAATGTGGTTAAGAATTTGTTTTTCCAAACTGGGTGATGATTGAAGGTGGAATAAAAATCTGAATCGCGGCGGGATTCGAACCAACGACTACCAGGTCTTCTTCCCAATACCCTACCGACTGAGCTACTAGGTAGCTACTTACTTCATTGACCCTTTCGTAAATTTTTTGCACAAATAATTCGACAAGTCCATATGTTTAAAGTTACCAAAAGGACCAGTTGCTTTAAGCTTATAGTTGTTTTATGTGCTAGTGAAGTTATCCCTTTTTGTCTTGGAGTGTACCATTTAGAGGTTGTTTTGGTGGATGTTAGTTTCTGTTGTATTCTCCGTTTGATTGTGTATAGAATCTTGATGATTTTCTCGTAGCGAAGTGCATTAGTTGAAGCATTGTTTAGTTCATAGGCCTCGTAGATTTGGAGATTGGAATTTCAAGGTTTCTGTTGTGTCAACTCACTCTGTTAGGTTGTTATTTGCTTGATCTGACACTATGACTGGTGCTTTACTGATCTTAACTTCAATTGGAGGTTCACTCTCCGGTCAAGTAATCAAAGGACTGTGGAAATTACCAAATCTTTCGGATTCTACATGTAGATGTGATTCTATTGCCGCTAAAGTTGCACCAGCTGACTTGGAGAGAAGAGTGTATTTCATTGGCCTACAATGAATAATTAACCATGCATTTGATAGGGTAGGCGGAAAAATTGCAAGTGGCTTAAAAAGCATAAGGAACCCAGTTAGAATTTCTATGAACGGGAACAAAAGCTTAGCAAGGAAAGAGGTACTCACTATTGATTGGCTATTACTCTCATTCATTTTGCATAGAGTACCGCTTTCTAACCTACTGTACTGGTATAAAGAGTTATGACACGGACACGCACGGACTGACGTGGTTGACACCCTTTATTTAGCGTAACTGGTTTATGTTATTGTAAGAAATGCAATTCTGATTATTATTTGTTCTTCATGATGATAAACGGAGCATCGTACCATTTGTATAAACTTCATTTCTCTTTCATCCAACGACAACAGCACTATGCTTCACATATATACGCTTTGCACATACGTAATTTTACAATGGCTGAAAATGAATTACATTCCTATTTTGAAACATGTATGGCGCGTATTGATAATCCAGAGGCGTCACTGATACCAGCACCATCGAAATCATCATCGGCAACAGCAGCAGCCTCAGCAGCGGGGTGTCGACGGCGGCTGCAGCGGCGTCGACAACGACGGCTACAACAACGGCAGGAGCAATGACATCTTCAGCATCGAATCCAACTATCAGTTCTAGTAATACATGTGCTCATATGGCAGTAACTGCTGCTTCGATGCATTTAAACTTTGGTCACTGGTAAGCATATGTATATTTTTTTTAACTGATGATTGAGTATTGTAATACAGTACTATTAATTTCATTTGAAGTTAACCAACTTCCCTGCAAAACACCTATTTCTTTCATGTACAAGGTGTTCATTGATGACACCAAGTGATTCAGTCTATCATCAATATTAACTAAGAGGAGTGGTAACTTTTTGTTGATTCTCCATTGTTTTACTGTATCGAATTGTTCGACCGCTGTTGGCATATGGGCTCCTATGCGGATGCCTTGATATTGCCTGAATGTTAATTATGGTAATTTAGTTGGTTGTGAACCTCGCCTGGTTAACTAGTTCACTAGTTACTAGCCGGTCCTAAGCCCGACTAAAGACGGAAGGTTGGGCTTAGGGCTACCAACCCTACCTCGGAAAAAAAATCTGACCGCTAAAGAAACTTCAAAGCACAAAGAAAATATAAAAAATGGAAACAAACTTATTCCCCGCTGGAATCGGAGAGGCGAAATGACGCCAGTTGGTGAAAGCCTTCGGGAAGCCAATTGGCCGATGTGTCTCCTCTTCCTCGATGAAAGCGAAAGTAAACGTGGGGACATGGAATGTCCGTACGATGTTTGAACCCAGTAAGGCTGCCCAGATTGCAAAGGAGATGAGAAGGTATCACATCGAAGTGCTTGGGATTTGCGAAAGCAGATGGAATGGGAGTGGACTCTCCAAACTGTCAACTGGAGAATCAATAATCTACTCCGATATTGTCACCCAGACGCCAACCATGAGCACACTGAGAATCCGAGTGGCTATCATGATGTCCTCAAGAGCATCGAAGGCTCTCATGCAGTGGGAACCAATCTCCTTGTGTGGGATCATGACAGCAAGATTCAACTCAAAAGGAAGAAAGGTCACAATCATACAATGTTATGCACCTACAAATAATGCAGAGCAAGAGAAAAAGGAGGATTTCTACAGACAACTTGAATCAACACTGGACAAGACGTCAGTTGGCGATATCAAAATTCTAATGGGCGACATGAATGCCAAACTGTGAGGGGACAACACGGGAAGAGAACTAACCATGGGTCGAGAGGTGCTAGGTGAAATGAATGAGAATGAAGAATTGTTTGCAGAATTCTGGGCATTCAACGATTTGGTGATTGGAGGCAGTGTGTTCAAGCACAAGGAAATCCACAAGACGACATAGATTTCACCAGACACTAGGACACACTAAAAGTCAAATCGACTTTATCTCAATCTCAAGAAAGTGGAGACGCAGTCTACTTGACACAAGGTCAAGAAGAGGAGCAGATGTAGGTTCAGACCACTATCTAGTGCAAGGACCTTACCTTCCAAATCAAGTTAAAAGCCTTCAAGGAAGCTGGTGATAGACCTCAATTCAAGTACAACACTCGGAAACTGAAGGATGAAACTACAAAGGAGATCTTCACGGCAGCCAGCCATCAAGACAAAATGGGAGATATCGAGAAACATCTTTGAAGAAACCTGTGTAGAAGAACACTGGAAGTCTTTGAAAGCTATGTGGAAAGAAACCTGCACAACAGTATTAGGAAGGAAGAAGAAAGAAGATAAGGAATGGATCTCGACGGATACCTGGAAGCTGATAGAGGAGAGGAGGATGGTGAAGCAGAAGATAAACCAGTGCAAGGATGCTCAACGACAAGAGGAACTGAGCACAATGTATAAAACACTGAACAAAGAAGTGAAGAAGAGTGCACGCAAAGACAAAAGATACTTCTACAACACACTGGCAAGTGAAGCAGAACAGGCTGCAGGTAAGAGAGACCTGACAACATTGTATCAAATAACCAGGTTGCTATCAGGGAAGAGACCAACACAGATGAAACCAATAAAAGATGAAGAAGGAAATTTAATTACAAAAGAAGAGAAACAGAGGAAACGATGGGCCGACCACTTCAAGAAGCTCTTGAATCGACCACCACAACCACCTGCACTTCGTCCAGAAATACCACCTGCAGCCGCTGAACTACAAGTGAACATAAATACCCCAACGGAAATGGAAGTCCTGAACGCCATAAAGCTACTGAAATGCGGGAAAGCAGCAGGACCAGATGGGATCCTGCCAGAAGCACTGAGAACAGACGCAGAGACAACAGTGGACATGCTCACACCACTATTGCAGAAGGTGTGGAAGGAAGAGAAGGTACCTGGACATTGATTGGAAGAAGGGTTACCTTGTCAAACTGCCGAAGAAGAGAGACCTGAGTGCTTGCAAGAACTGGCGTGGAATCACTCTCCTGTCCACCCACAGCAAGTAAAATATTAAGCCGCATCATCCTGGAGAGACTAGACGATGCACTGGATTCAAAACTGCGACCGGAACAGGCAGGCTTCAGGAAGTACAAATCATGTGCAGACCAAATTGCAACGCTTCGCATCATCATAGAACAGAGCATAGAATGGCAATCAGCTCTCTGCCTCAACTTTATCGACTTTGAGAAGGCCTTTGACAGCGTCGACCGAGAAGTAATTTGGAAACTGCTTCAATACTACAGAATACCGCAAACCTTTATACGCCTCATTCAACAACTATATGAAGACGTCACATGGCAGCCAAGTAATTCACAATGGGAAGCTAGCTCAGTGACGCCTTTGAAGTGAAGACAGGGGACAGGAGTGAGACAAGGCTGTCTGTCTACTATCCCCCATGATATTCCTGATTGTGGTCGACTGGACTGGATCATGCAGCAAGCAGTGGGGAGCTGTGAGAAGAGGGGGATACGCCGGCTGGACTGTGGAAAAGAACCTAGAAGATCTGGATTTCGCCAACGATGACTTGTGCCTGATGTCACACAAACTTGAAGATGTATAGGCGAAAGTTAACAAGTTGACAGAAGAGGCGAGGTAAGGCGAGGCGAGGCGAGGCAACGAAGACGGGACTTCAAGTGAACGTGGAGGAAACAGAGGTGATGAAGATACCGCACTAACAACTCCAACTCCAACAACAGAAACAACAACAACAACAAGAAGAAACTGCAATCACCATGAACGGGAGAAACCTCGTTCACCTATCTAGGCAGCACTGTTTCAACTACACGTGGTACAGATGAGGATGTCAAAGCCAGCCAGCCAGCCAGCCAGCCAGCCAGCCAGCCAGCCAGCCAGCCAGCCAGGATGGGAAAGACAGTAAGACAGGCGTTGATTAGCCTGAAACCAGTGTGGAGATCTCCTGCACTCCACTCAGCATAAAGCGTGAACAACATCCGGATTTTCAAGACCAATTGAGTCAAGTCAGTCAGTGCTTCTATGTGATGGTTGAGAGAGTTGGTGGGTTACGAAAGGGATTTGCAATAAACTAGAGACATTCATCAACAACTGCCTACTCTGGCTCGTTACTGAAGCTGAGATGGCCAGAATAATAGGAATAAGTAAAAAAGGAACTCTGGCTTGCTGGTTGGCTGGTAACGAGCCAACCAAGAAGCTATCGCTGAACAAATATGCAGTAGAAGGAAGTGTAGATGGGTTAAGCATACAGTGAGCTGGGTGACTGTGGACATCAGGTGGCAGGCCAGGTCGTCGAGTGGGACCCGGATGGGAAGCGACGAGTTGGGCGTTCCAGCTGAGTTGAGGGTGACATGGAGGAGATGGTGTGAGGAGGTAGTGAGAACTTCTGGGCTGTCGTGGAGCGAGGTTCAAAAGATTTCAGAGAACAGAGTGGAATTGATACGTGTTAGTGAGTTAGTATTTTCCACTGGGAACCCAAGGGAAAAATAATAATAATAATGTAATGGTTGGTTGTGGCTATCAAAAGACTCTAGCATGCGGGATTCTTTCTACTTATAACTCTTCAGATGGATATACCTGCACCTCACTGAGTGATGTTTTTCCCACCTTGACTAGAGCCTCGTACCCATCGCTTCAAACGCCAAAAAGAAGTGGGTTGTAGATTTCAATGTACGCTTGGTTAAACTTTGTTGATGTTAATTTTTGTAACTTCATACTATAGTTCATTATCAATTCGTAATTTACCGTTAATTACTGAAGGTTGGCTGGACTAATACTTATGTCTTTGTATAATAATAGTGTCTTTTCTGAAGAAAGTCCCGGTTCTAGATAGCTTCTTTGATCTCTAGTTTTTTTTAATTAACATCTTAAAGCTCATTTTATATATTATTTACTGACCTATATCTTCACTAAATAATAAATGTCTAACAACTTGTATTGATGCAAGTGCCTGACACAAATAGATTTTTTACCGTGGTTTCCAGCGGATTGGTTATGGGTTCCAAACCCAGTTCCACCTACCTAGTCAGGCTTCGGCAGCCAATTAACATTATTAGCCCTGTACACAATAGGACTGGCTCATCGCCTAATACATAATTATCCACAAAGTTAGTGAGTGGATTTGAATTCTAAATGTTGCCAACTATATCACTTCCTATCTGGTTTGTAGGTAAGTTTCTCATTTCCATAGTTCTGGACTGAGTTGATAACACTTTCAATCTTCAGTAATGGGGGCACTTTTTAAAATATTAGTTTTTAGGCATTTATTGATTCGATGGACATAACCGTAGGCACATCTTACTTCACAAGGATTGATCTACTCCTTGGAAGCCATCTGATTGATTTGGAGTATGCAGGCAACATTGTCTTGCTAGGTTAAGACGCTGACGCAATACAGGGTGTTCTAAGTGCGTTAAACAGAGGTCGAAGTATATGTGGCATACGTTTCTCACCTGTAAAATGTTAAATGATGCTCCATAACTGGTCTGCAACCATCCCCAGTTTAGTGATAAGAGTTGTATCATCCCGAACGGGTTAGTTGATAAGGAAATCTCAGCTTAGATACAGAAGATCCGTGTGACGCTTGCCAACTTGCGTCATCTATACCGCCGTCCGGCGAGATATCCGACTACCTATTAAAGAAAGAGGTATTCTGCGATGCAGTTCGTTCTGTTGTGTTATACAGTTTTTAAAAGTAGAAGATATGAAGCAGTTATAAGCTTTTTACCGTATGTGTCTCCGTAGCACTGGTCGCATGGGGTGCAACCATTCAATGAGGTTGTGAACCTTCAGCAACTGATGCAGGATCGATAGATGTTGCTCATGCTGAGCCGTCGCCTACCTCGATGTGCCATGTTGGGGGAAGTTGAATTAGGTTTGAAGTGGGTTCAGGGTGGCCAAAGTGAAACATAGCACCAGTCGGTGAAGTTTCTGACTGTTGATATAAACTGTGTGGGGAGATGTTGACTACCTGACTGCGGTCACCGAGATGAAAGGGATCAGTGGTACAGGACTGTTGATGACATGACTGAAAATCGGTCACAATGGCACAGATGTGTTCACTCTTTGACGTCTTCAGAAGCCTCAATATTCGCACTGAACTTTATCCTCAGATTATTTATTCTCTCACACACCTTTTTAACCTTGATGTTAGTCTTTTATCGATCCACCTGCTCTGCTCTTTGTATACTACTATGGAATGTGACAGCTTGAGCGGATGCACTTTTATTCGAGTTTCTGTGTTGATTCTGACTGTCTGCCTGTTATTTAAAAGTAACGTTCATGGTAGGTTGATATTGAATGATGGTCACGGTACATTGTGAATTGGGAGATGTTGGAAAGTATGGTTAGTTGGATTCCAAAGTAGTGATCGAATTGTGGTTAGCTTGCCATGAGAACTGATACTCCAGGACTGAATCTTCATGGTATCGCGGGTATACACTGCCGAAGACTTCTGTACTAGGACGAAACCGCTGTCTAATGCTTCCTGGTTTTCAATAGCTTTCTAACTTATTTTAATGCTTGTTGTCTTGTTTTCAGATTCGGTTGGTCAATTTCTTCGGTCGTTTTACCGAAGGTGATACTATCTAACCGGACCTTAGTAACATTCTGATCACCTTGGGCATTTTATTCAATAGAGCAGACAGATTTGAAAGTTGAAATAAACTTATTTATTTCATTTTCTTTTATCTGTAATCAACTTAATGTATCTTACTGAAAGGGGTATCGAGTAAGTACATCACCTTACTAAAGGCTCTTTACGCGAATACCTGCGAACGTGTTAGTGCCTATGGTGAGGTGCCGAGTGAGTTGTGTACGTCAAGGATACCCACGTTCCCTGTTCTTATTCATTTTTATCATAGACGTTTTTATGCAGGTTTCCGTCTCTGAACATCTGACTACACCGCGATTTACCAAGTCACAGAGGAATTTTTCGTAGGCCTACAACACTCAAATGACAGTTCTGTTAGATGAAGGTGCTGACAGGAAGGAGAGTCTTTCGGAAACCTTGAATGGCAGTTTGAGAATGTTTGGGATGTTTTTTCTCGTCACCCTAATTGCGAATGGTTGCTCCAAGACTGACCTTCAACGGTGCCAATAGATATTGGCGTGGTTGAGTGTGTTGAACACTTCACTTATCTGAGAAGTCGGATCAATCCTGGTGGCTTAGCGGCCGACAAAATCTCTGCATGGACACGTAAGGCTCAGTTGGCTTTTACCGACTTACGCCATCTGTGGCGCCGCCGTGATATCTGATTGTCCATTAATGGTCAAGTATACTGCACAGTAGTTGACCCTGTTCTACTGAATGTCTGTGAAACATGGGCAACGAAGGTTGAATAAAGGAGAAGGCTTTAGGTGTTTGACCACCACTGCCTCTGTAGCATAGGCCATGTTTCGTGATGTCAATACGTGAGTAACATGGAAGCCAGGTGTAGAGTTTTGGAGGAGGGAGATAAGTGAGTGGTTGTTGTTGTTGTGAACCTTGATTGAGTGAGATGGCTGGGTGGGAGATGTGTTACTTATACCTGGTCACTGTCTGCCTTGTCACATGAGTGTTGGTTGAAGTAGATTGAGGCTGGAATAAAGGTTTTGGGTGACGAGACTAAAACATGTCATTAATGCATGAAGTTGTTGTCTGTTGTTTTGAGTCGTGTATGTCGATGGTTGCCCAGGCTGAAATAGGTGGAGTGGGATTCGAACTTGAGACTAATTGATCAAGGGCCAACTGATTGAGCCAATGAGCTATATCTCCACATGTTTGTGATCTATTACCACAGGTTGATTAGCCAGGCATTTAAGTTAGTAGACGACTCCTATGTATCTCTATAGGTTTGTGATCAGTCACTATACTCATCCACTTACTTATCTACCTACTTTCATACATACATTGATACATATATTTTAGCTTAGACGTTAAATTTTCAAGCACAAAGACCTGGGTTGATTCTCAGCTGCTTTTACTTCGACCTGGGTGACCGGATAACATCATACGACCTTGTACCGACTCGAGTTATAGGTGTAAGGATAGCCTAGTTACCGTTACACATATTCCTTAGACAGGTCTATACGATAATGTTATTAAATTCTGTCATTTAAAACCAAAGTAGTCGTAGAGAATACTTTTTCTGCATGGGTACGGTTGGGTAAGATTTAAAGACTGCTCATTCGTAGAGTACGCATGAGCCAAGCCTATTGTGTGACAGCTACTGATGATACTACCAGTAGGTGGAACTGGGTTCGAACCCGTATCCCACTGGTTGAAAGTCATCTGCCTAAACCAATGAGCTCCAGGAGAAGCCTCATCGAGTTAACGTCGCTTTCCGGAACACAAAGACTTGAGATAAGTGAGTCTTTATCGAGATTATAAACATCTATTGCTGATAAGTATATTAGTGAGGAAAAATATTGGGTTAAATGTTCAGTATTTCCAGACACTGTACACTAAATTGACTATCTTTTTATATTTGGTGAGTTTCTAGGCGAGATGGGTATCTACCCTTTTTTTATTTGGCATGTTAACAAATTTTAACTTTATATTAGGCATTTTTTTTATACATGCATCATATTTCTGAAGTGTTCTTCACCTTGAATCTTTTTTAGGCATAGAGGAAAGTGTTTGATCAAGGAAGCCTTACAAAAATCTTTGGAAAGTGAATCCAAGGATTCATTAGGTCATGTTAAAGTGAGTATTTTATTATTTTGTCAGTATTTTTCGTGTTTCACTTTGTTGTTGTGATAATATTCATTGTGTACCGATAGCAGTGGAAGCATATATCAACCATTTTCAAAGCATAGTGATACTGTTCTTCAGATTGTATATGATTTATTTATCTAAATATTAGGTGTAATTTGATTGGCCACTGGAAACTAACTGATATCATGTTGTTGTTCAGTTGTAAGTGTTAACCAAATTCTGTTGACGAATCTGTGAAACTTACTATTATCAACGACCTGACAGCAAACATGAGATGTTATAAATAACTTCCTATCTTGGTGTATGACTACTTTACTCATTTGATCGGTATGTTTCAACTAGGTAAACATGACGCCGGTTACTTTTCATTAGTAGATTATTACTTCTACAATCCGTGAGGAACATTAAACACTTTAATAATGGGAGATTCAAATAACAATAATGGTGGTTATATATAAATGATGAGTAATGACTATCAGTGGGATTCAAGGCAGCGCGTTTCGTCCTTCTCGGGACTCGTCATCTGGATGTACTTGCCCCTTAGTAAGCGACGTCGTCCCCACTAGGACTCGAACTAGGGATCGATTGCTCCAAACGCCAAAGCGTTACTCACTAGATCACCAAGTCATGGTAACCACCTCTTGTGTGACGGGTATAACTTTAATGCTGTTGCTTTGTATTATCCCGTTGTTGATATTAACAATATCATCAATATATAGCTCAAACACATGCAATATCAAGGCATTTGCGCAGGACCCCATATGCGATAGAGACCGATCAATTCGATCCGTTTAACAACGAGATAATACAAGCGACAACATTAACAATGATGGTTATAGTTATAATAAAGTTACTGGTTGATGATATAAAGGTTGAATGGTAACTAAAAGGGGTTATGTAAGACTCACTAAATGGTTTATAAGGTGCATATAGATTACAAAAGGTTGAAAATATGATAGAGTTAATAAACAATCAAACGATTATACAATTCATATGAACAAGACAGCAAGTTGATTAGGATAAATTGAAAATTTTTTGTTAAAAGTTGTAATCACTATGATGATTGAATGAAGTAACACCGGGAACTATTAAGTGTTAAAGTAAAAATGATAATCACGATATGAGTACAAAGACTACTCTAACAAGACGAAGGAACGAAACACTTGAAGACCAAATTAGGTTAAGACTAAGGTAGAGACAATGACTGTACATACTTCTTCTGCCCATAAAGGTCAGTCAGGCTTCAGTTCACAGATGACGAAGGTCTCTGCTGTTTTTAGAAGTTGAAGATGGACAGAACGTAGGATAGTTGAGCGATAGATAACCTTGTTGGGGTTGGTTGGATCATCATCATCATCATTATCAACATAGGACCAGGCATTACTGCGTAACGGTCGAGTTGTCACACCTCACGTCAGTTCATCAAGTAGAAAGGTAGTGAGGTGAAGGATGAAGATAAGTGAATGCAGTCAAAAGAAATATAAAGTATGAGGAGAAAGAAAAGAGGAATGACAAAATAGTGAGATACGGTATAGCGTCGTTAATATGAGGATAATGTGTGCATACATCTGCGCCACTGACATCGGTTCTGAACCATATCACCTAAGTCTCCAATCACTGGTTCCTCTTGTCCCGCGCACCCCAACCACCTAGTCTACATCGTCCTACGTGGCTTAAACCAACAGTCAGAGACTTCATACATTGGTGCCATGTTTTAGTCTGGCGACCTCGGGCCTTTTTCCAGCCTGACCCACCTCAGCCAACATTGTGTGACAAGGCAATAGATAACTAGGCATACGTAGTACGTGTCCCACCCATCTCAGTCGATGAAGGTTCACACCGTGTCAACTGACTTACCTCTGCTTCCTAAAACTCTACACCTGACTTATGCATTACTCACATGGTGACACCACGGAATACGTCCTATACTACGGAGGCAACGGTGGTCAAACACTGAAGCCTTCTTATATCTTCCACTTTCAATGGCCATGTTTCACAACCATACAGTAGAAGAGAGCGGACTGCTGTGCAGTACACGTGACCCTTAATAGACAAATGGATATCACGGCGGCGCCATATGTGGCGCAAATTGGCAAAAGCCATCGAGCCTTTTGTATCCGTGCAGAGATTGCATCGGCAACTAATCCACCTGGGGTGATCCTACTTCCCAGGTAAATGAAGTGGTCAACACACCCAACCACTTCACTCTCTATTGTTAGCCGCGGTACCGCTGAAGACCAGTCCTGGAGCAAAAATTTGCATTTAGGTGGTGAAAATGGCATCCCAAACATTCTCAAATTCCCACTCAAAGTGTTCAGAAGACTCTGCATCTTGTCAGCGTCTTCACCCAACAGGACTATGTCATCTGCATATTCTAGATCTAAAGAAAATTCACATGTGATTAGTCAACGTTTGTGTAATTAGGTGATGAGAGGGAAACCTCCATAAGAATATCTTTGATAAAATTAAATAAGAATGGAGATAGTGGGCATCCTTGACGGACACCACTTGATGAGTTGGGTTGGTTGGATGTGTGGAATCGATTAGGTGTTCAAGGACAGAACATTTAATGCATTTCTTTTCACCCGTATATAACCAGGTTGGAATGTTCTCATCTCTCGAGATCAATTAGTAGGAATTTTTAGGCAGACAAACTTTATTTGACCTATACTAGTCGTAAATTGTTCTCCATTTGTGTAAAAGACAATAAGCCTCAACAGGCCACCTCCATGTTTATCTATCACTCCACGTACTCCTGTACAGCAAGGTACATCGCCTGTATTCAGAGATCGCTGTCATCACATATACGAGGACATATTCCAACCTGGTTATATAAGGGTGAAAAGAAATGCATTAAATGTTCTATCCTTGAACACCTAATCGATTCCATACATCCAACCAACCCCAACAAGGTTATCTATCGAATTCGCTCACACATCTCATGTTTCCTCCATCTTAAACTTCTAAAAACAGCAGAGACCTTCGTTATCTATGAACTGAAGCCTGACTGACCTAATTAACTTGCTGTCTTGTTCATATGAATTGTATAATCGTTTGATTGTTTATTAACTCTATCATATTTTCAACCTTTTGCAATCTATATGTACCTTATAAACCATTTAGTGAATCTTACATAACCCCTTTTAGTTACCATTCAACCTTTATATCATCAACCAGTAACTTTATTATTACTATAACCACCATTATTGTCATTTCAGTTTCCTAATATTTAAGCGTTCAATCTTCCTCATGGATTACAGTCTTTAAATATCATATATGTATACGAATGTACAGGTTAAGAATAAATTCGTAGAAAAGAATCCTCTTCTCTGAATATCTTGTTCTTTTATGTCACAGTAGGAATTATAAATTGTTAATATGTCTACTTTTAGAATGTTTTAGAAGGTTAACACTAGGCTCTGGATAGCTCCATCTTAACATCTTTCACTTCAACACTGAGTGATATGACTTCCAATCTTTTAAAGGGTATCAACTACCTCAAGTTTTCAAGAACATTTTACTAGCAAGTCGTAGTGAAAGTGAGACCTCAGTTTACTGCTTTCTACAATCATTTTTTTTTGGTTTTCGTGTTTAGTGACTGTTATCCAACATATAATGGGCTAGTGAAACGATTACAAGTTTCGGCAGCTTAGTTGACAAGCATTTCTTGTTTTAAAAAACAATATTTTCATTTCTAGTTCCTTTAAGAAGTATACATTATTCCATTTGATTCAGAGGTGTTCAGGGAATTGTCGTCTCTTTTTATCATAGACCAACATTAACTAAAGAACATGGATGTACTAGACAGTTATTTCACCCTGTCTCCATGATCTTTCAATACTCATTAGACACTTGTTGGGAAATGAATTTTTTGAGATACAAAAACGCTCACTTAACTATTTGGATTGAGGCAGTTGACAGGAAGCCTTGGTTGATGTAGGTTTCGTGATTTTTGGCACTCATCAGCAGGGTATATTTACAACTTAAACTGGACTAATGTCTAATCTGAGATTCGAACCCCATTCACCTAGTGCTGCAATCAGCGACATTATCACTGAGCTATTCGAGCAGCTATTGGCCTCCTATGAGACTGGGTTACATACGTTTATTGGTCAATAGAGAATAACCTATTTCACGTCCTGTCGTCCTGCACGCTGATCGAATCCTATCGACCATTTTGGAGTTTTGCTCACCAGGCTAGGAGACGTACCATCGCATACACTTGTATGGTGATCAATATTACTGTTCGGTTGTTAAACCTTACTATAGACAGTGTAACTTTCAAATTTATGACCGTGAGGGTGAGGATTGAACGACTTTAGCACTGACACAGCTTCACACTCGAAGTTATGTAGAGCATACCTCGGAAAAGGTTGTCTAACATCAATTATAATACTCTTTAGAGAACACAAATACACTAAATATGCTGAGTTACAGCCGCCGATACACCAACACTGGTCATTAGTTGGGGGTGAGACCAATTTTGAAGGAAGATAACGATAGTCAACTTAAGGTATAATGCCACTCCTTAAAAATGGCGACCGCCTTGGTGAGTCGTGTAGAAAATGTCATATTCTAGCCTGAGGTTCATGAAGCAATCGAAATCGATGATTGTCACTTCCAGACAATATAGATTAAGTGTCGGTCTTAATGGTGTGGTGCAAATTCATTCACTCCTTATTTTATTGAAATTATAATACCATATGTTTTCATATGTTGTTTTGTACATTGCCTTTGTATCAGAACTCTGTATAACTTTTGATATTATCTTTAATTTCTTTGTCTTTCTTCCCGAGGACATCCACTTTGGAATGCTGTGATAAAGCGTACGAGTTTTGAACACTACACGGTAATGCCATCACCTTGTCTTTTGGTTGTATCATTTTATGCTTCTTGAACACTTCACTCACCTGGGAAGTTGGATCAATCTTGGTGGCTCAGTGGCCGACAAAATCTCTGCATGGACACGTAAGGCTCAGTTGGCTTTTACCGACTTACGCCATCTGTGGCGCCGCCGTGATATCTGATTGTCCATTAATGGTCAAGTATACTGCACAGTAGTTGACCCTGTTCTACTGAATGTCTGTGAAACATGGGCAACGAAGGTTGAATAAAGGAGAAGGCTTTAGGTGTTTGACCACCACTGCCTCTGTAGCATAGGCCATGTTTCGTGATGTCAATACGTGAGTAACATGGAAGCCAGGTGTAGAGTTTTGGAGGAGGGAGATAAGTGAGTGGTTGTTGTTGTTGTGAATCTTGATTGAGTGAGATGGCTGGGTGGGAGATGTGTTACGTATTCCTGGTCACTGTCTGCCTTGTCACATGAGTGTTGGTTGAAGTAGATTGAGGCTGGAATAAAGGTTTTGGGTGACGAGACTAAAACATGTCATTAATGCATGAAGTTGTTGTCTGTTGTTTTGAGTCGTGTATGTCGATGCAAAATAACCGGTTGAGGTCCGCTGTGCAAGAGAATTCAGTGGTTGGAGGCTGTAGGTGATATGGTTGAGAACTGTTGTCATTGGTGGAGATGTATGTAGATATTATGTCAATGTTAACCTCTATACTTAGTGTCATCATTTTCTCATTCTTCCATCCTTTCATTTACTACTTTTTACTTGTACTTTTTTTGACCGAATTTTCTTTCCTTCTTCATCTTTCATTTCATTGGTTTTTTTTACTTGATGTGGTGATATGGAATATGGCAACAGGAAGTGTTACTCAGTATTGCCTGGTCCTATGTTGATCTTGATGATGATGATGATTGATGTGTCTCCTAGTGAATGTGCGGTTGCATCGACTAATTAATAGCTCTTCTTTGTTACTGGTTCTTGAGTTCTGCTACTCTCCAGCTTTCTCTTTCATCTTCGATTATCAACGCATTATATTAATAATAGATCGTTTACGTAGAATGTTTGCATTACTTTGTGAAACAATGTGGGGATCAAGCCAAGGATCTCATTTTTTCTGGACAATGTTCACAGTTGAACTTGGTTATGTTTTACCTCAGTAAAGAAACTAGGACTTTTGAGTTTGAAAGCAGAAACACCTCTTCATGTTTCCAAGTTATTCTCAAGATTAATTTTCGCAATGCATACCTATCAACAGTAGCTATTAGTATTGGCAAACACAGCCGAAGATTATTTATTTGAAGAATTACAGTGAGTATCAGTGAAACATTGCAACCTCTTTATGGATATCGCTCTTACGAAGATTATTCCTTCTCATCTGTATGTATGCTACTGTTTTTTGTCTTCCTATCCATTCTGTTTTTTTCTGTCCAGAGCGTTCGCTGGTCGATCACCTAATCTTTTCACTTTTTCTGGGGTTGCCACCGCACTGTATAGTGCTTACGTATATTCTTATTAGTAACATACAACAAAATATTGGCTGTGCTGCATTTTCTTTAGTAGATATTCGCTATTATTTTCTTCTTTTTTTCTTCTAGGTTACACATACTTTACTGAATTCAAGTGCTGATCCGTTTAGATATGATGATCAAGTTCCGATGAAAAAACCGTTTAAATCAAATGTGAGGTTAAATAGTTTAATTTCGATGGATGATTATTGTCGATTAATCCTATTTACCATATTCAACACCTATTCTTTTAGTAATTGAAATGAGAGAATCATAAAAATAACTGGATATTTGAACAATTTATCATCGCATCGTATTCTTCAGTAGTTCTTCAGCTAATTCGTATCAATCCTTCATGAATACCATTAGTAAAGACTGAAATCAAAATGCTCTAGTCTGGAGCACAGTTTATGTTTGCGGTTTTTTAAAATTTTCATTGTGTCGTGGTCATCGGTTAAACGAATCGTAAGGATGACAATTTATTATTGATTCTAGACGTGCCAATATTATTATTAACAGGTTAAAATATGTAACTAAGAAAGTAGCTTAACCATGAGATGAAATTGGTTGTTGTCTAGCAAAATTGGTCATTCAAATCAACCATTAAACATCTACTGATCATATCGAGAACGAAATGCTGTTGGAAGACAACGAATTCAAGTGAATAGTGTGAAAATAGACAATCAATACTGCGAACACTAACACTGGCTAGGATGTAGGTAAATTCAGCTGAAGAGATCCACTGCTAGCCGCTGCCAAATATGTACATCACTAAGAATGGGATCATGGTTGTATTTAACTGTTTTCTGAGTCATTATTATTACACATAATGATCCCTTTTTCGGGAACATTTTCTTCATAATTCTGTTCAACATGTTACTTGGTACACTTCTGTATAAAGATCGAGTCCTAATGGAAACAACATCGCTTACTGTCAAGCAGATACATCCAGTTGACGATTCCCAAATAGGACAAGACGTGCGTCCTGGATTCCACTGCTAGCCACTACTCATCATCCATTCTAGCCCATTAAAAAAAAACGCTGGACAGAAAATGTTATATTTGCTTCTACCTGGTATACGAATCCTCTGCATGGTGTTATAAAGTGGTCTGGCTTTTTTTTGGCCTCGAATGTTTTATCATGACTTAGCATCGTGTCGTGTTAGTTATTTACTGAATACACTTTACATAATATATTTCATGGTTATTTTGCTTGTTCACAAGTTCACATCTCATTCACATTCTTCTGTATATAATATACTCAGCTGTAAGCCACACCGTGCTGTGATTCACAACCAATCCGTTGAAACTCTAGTGATTAAGCCAATGAATTAAGCTTGTGAATCGATTATCAGATGGTTACTTGGCTGTCAGGTTTATCTTTTATGCTATTTGAACATTTCGGTAAAGATGTGTTCCTTAAAGCTACTTCTGCTTGTGCATGCATGTTGGTTGGTGTTGTTATCAAGTTATCACTCCTGAAAGTTACGTAAATAATAATAATAATAATTTCTTTTCCACTAATTTTCACTATTTGAATATTCATTCATTTCTTTGCTAGAATGTTACATTGACCGAGTTTCGTACGAAATTTTGGAGTGCATTGGATTCAGGATCAGAACCATATGAGTAAGTTTCTTTCGTATTTATTTATATTTGCTTTGAGAACAATAAACATGTCAGTGGATAGACATTCTATCCTTGATGCAAACTTATATGATGGTCGTTGTATCCTTTTAACCCATTACTTGTTTCATAATATGCTGTCCACCAGAGATTCCCACTGTTACGGCTCCTGTTTGATTTTTTTGTAGATTTATTGATGGACATAACCTTAGGTGTGTCACAGATTGATCTACTGCTTAAAGGGCATCTGATTAATTTGGAGTATGCAGGCGATATTGTCTTGCTAGGTGAAGACGCCGACACAATAAGGATGTTCTGAACGCGTTTAGTGGAAGTCTGAAAATGTACGGCGTGCGTTTCTCACCTGTGAAATATTAGATGATGCTACACGACTAGTTTTCACCTATTCCCATTTTAATGATAGGAAGTGAAGTGGTAAAATGTGTCGACTGCTTCGCCTACTTGGAGGGTTGTATCATTCCGAACGGGTTGGTTGGTGACGAAATCTTAGCTTGGATATAGAAAGCTTGTTAAGCATTTGCCAACATCCGTCATTTGCGGCACCAACTGATGAGATATCCGACTATTGCTGTAGTTCATTCTGTCCCCTTATATAATTGTGAGACGTAGTCGGTCAAAGTAAAATGTCACAAGGTTTTGATCACAGGTATCTTCGTAGCATTGCTCGCGTTTGGTGAATCACCGTGTAGAAACAATGTTGAGGTCAAGCGTAGGGTACCAGGCAAAGAAAGCAATTCAGTCAGTCAATGAGGTTTTGAACCTTAGTCGATTGAGATAGTTGAATATATGTTTCGCATGCTGATCCACCGTTTACCTTGACGTATCAGGCTAGTGGAGGAAGTTGTATTAGGTTGGCCAGACGAAGACGTGGCGCCAGTTGACGAAGTCTCTTACTGTTGGTTTGAGCCGTGTACGGAGATGTAGACTGACTGGTTGGGGTCCTCGAGACGAAACGTATCACGGATTGAGAAATCTTGGTGAAATAGTTGAAGATGGGTCTCACTGGCGCAAATGTATTCACTTTTTGACACCTAAAGCAGAAATATTTACGCTAATTCTCCCACACAACTTTGTCAACCTTGACAACAGTCTTTTTTTGTCTTGTTCTTTTGTATGTAGTGTGGCAGCGTGAACCAATGCACTTGTGTGTGAGGTTCTACGATGATTTAGTCTGTCTTTCTGTTTCATATGCTTCCTTCGTATTAATAATTTTAATAGGATAAAAACAGTCGTCCATCGTTTGAAGTGTTTGTTATCTGATGAATTGACGAGAGTTGTGATATCTTCTGTATATAATAAAAAAGCTGATTTCATTATAATATATGCATGCAAGTCGGTCAGCTGATCAATTTTTCTACACTGTTATATTCATTCATTTGAGATTCGCGCAACAGTCTACAATTGCATGTACAGAGTTGATTAGTTCAATGTATTTAGGCACATTTAATTTATTTGATAGGTAAGGGATCCCCTTTAAACTTGAGATTTCACAACTGTGTTGCTATATTGATTTTAGGATTAGGATTTCTTTCCAAGAAAAATCCAAAACACAGGATTTGTCTGAAATACCTCGAATCGTGAGGTATCTGTGGGTTTATCTCTATCGAAGTCTCAATAACAGATCACACCCATCGGATGAAATTGGAAGAGTGCTCAACAAATGCAACATCAGTGTTCTACAGCGCATCAAATGCATTTCAGAACACCTTGGTTCATTTGAAGGACTAGATTCCTCTAGATTCACAACCGAAATATGCTCAGACTGTGATGGAATATGCGTAAGACAAACTTCCCGTGTAATCAGAATTAGAAAAAATAAACACCAAAAAGCTTCCACCCAACTCCATAGAAATCTAGTGGAACTGTAAAAACTTGAAAACATATTAACTATATCTCTACACGCTATATTTTCGGGTCACAAGGTCGGTTTTGTCAATATCGAAATTATTCAGGAAGAAAAAAAAGCAGGACGTGGTTTCAGTGAAAAAAATTTTTTTCCGGCGAAGTCATTTACTAGGCGTACATTCGTGAATATATGTTACAGTGAGTAGAATGTTCCAGCATTGTTTCCGGTCAGGGGGCAAAATGTACTGAATAACGAAAAGAAGTTAATTAATACAAATTTCAAGTTGTTATTCATCGTAGACTGACATCATTTGGAGGAACAAATGAAGCCCGGAAGCACTGGATAGCTGTTTCCTCCAACTAGTATGGGACTCCTCAGCAGTCCGCACCCACGAACCCGCACCGCCAGGGATCGAACCCGCGATCTTCAGGTTCCGCGACCAGGGCGTTGCTATTGAGCCAGCGGGCCACAATCCAATTGTCTATAGCGCAACCGCCACCCAGTGTCATCGTTGAGTAACTGTCCTCACGACCATCAGGCTTTGACTCCACCGGTCACGACTTCTCATCGCAACTTCAGGAATACCTCTCGAAGCTAGTCACCAATGAGCACCCGTTCAATTGTATTTTGTTCCTCCAACTGATGTCAGTCTACGATAAATAACAACTTGAAATATTTCAAAATCTCCACAACTCCGTCAACATTCAATTGAATGGGTACTCATTGATGACTAGCTTCGAGAGGTATTCCTGAAGTTGCGATGAGAAGTCGTAACCGGTGGAGTCAAAGCCTGATGGTCGTGAGGACAGTTACTCAACGATGACACTGGGTGGCGGTTGCGCTATAGACAATTGGATTGTGGCCCGGTGGCTCAATGGCAACTCCCTAGTCGCGGAACCTGGAGGTCGGGGGTTCGATCCCTGGCGGTGCGGGTTCGTGGGTGCGGACTGCTGAGGAGTCCCATACTAGTTGGAGGAAACAGCTGTCCAGCGCTCCCAGGTTTCCTTTGTTCCTCCAACTGATGTCAGTCTACGATAAATAACAACTTGAAATATTTCCAAATCTCCACAACTCCCTCATAATACAAATTTATGTTTAGAGTGGGAAAAATAAACAGGGGATTATCAAATTAAATTTAATTACGTAATACAGGATGAATGTATGGCAAAGTAGGAAACTGAATGACTATCAGATCCCTAAATGGAACATACTTCACCGCCAACCTTCAAATTATCTCCTGCAAGAAACCTCTTGATCAATGTGTGGAAAACAAGTCGACGCATTGGGCCACATAAATGTGTATACACCAGTTTACTTGCTGATGTGGAGCTGGGTACATTGATCGTACTATGCGTCCACTTGTAAAACGTGCCTGTGAATACTACGCAGCCTGGCTGGCAAAGAGATAATGGAAATGTATCTTTAGCTCAATAAGAGAACATCTTGTGAACTCAGGTCACTAAGTTCCTTTCAAGAGCTTAATGCAAAAAAGATGCGTCTAATCCTTATCTTTGCCATGGCCATCATAAAGCTTTGTCTGCCACAGATCCATTTTGTATCAGGTAACTACACATGTATGCCTTATTCATTTTTCTCCTCTGTCAGAGATTTAACCTCAATTACGCAATCGGAATCCTATTTTCATGATCTCGTGTTTATTCTCATATTCTGTCATAGGTTTATCCGGTATTACATAATCGCAATTCTATCTTCATAACTTCCTTTCGTTATTCAATATAATTTGCCCCCTGACCGGAAACAATTCTGGAACATTCTACCCACTGTAACATATATTCACGAATATACAGCTTAACAAATGACTTCGTCGAAAAGAAAGAAAAATTCCTTCACTGAAACCACGTCTTGTTTTTTCATATGATCAAATGAGTGTATTCCGCTTTCTATTCAGAAAGGCTTCAGAAATTTATAGAGAACGTCCTATAGCAGAATCTCTTTGTATTAAGTGGAATGAAAATTGTTTGAATAGGAAGTAACGAGGGAGTAAGGCGTTGTTTGACCTGTTCTCAACCCATCCCCATATACTGATATAACCAACCTACTTACGATAAAAACTATCAAACATGTGTACATACAAATCTTAATGTGTAGTTAACACACTCTTCACACACAACATACTACATATAGTTATCATCTTTATTCTACAATTCTAACGACGTAGAATCACTCATCCAGAAAAACACTTGTCAAGTTATCATATATAAGCTTAGGGTGATATTGTAAATTCCGGTTTACTATGACTTTGGTAAAGCTGTTAACAGCACTAAGTAGCGAAACGTCACTTCAAACAAATTTAATTTGTCTTACATTCATTTGGAGATACAAATACCAAAATAATGAATGTATAAGGCATAATTAATTGATTAGGGGTAAATAATTCCTATTGCATATATTCCTTTTCATTGTTCTCCTCACCTTTAGACTATTAACCGCCTATTTCAATTCATCAAATGCTATATCTCAAGCTTATTTTGCTATTTGTCAACTGGATTTGGCTACAATGTGGCAATTTTATGGATATCCGTAAGTGAAGCATATAAATTTGTGAACTGTTTTCTTCTATCGAATACTGTCTTTACCTTGTTGCTAGATATTGTTAATCAGCCACTGTGTAAAGATTTGTGCACCAATTAATTAGCTGCGACTATTATATGAGGACTCTAGGACTGATCTTCAAGGGTGTACCAGATAACAATAGATATTGGCGTGGTTGAGTGTGTTGAATACTTCACTTACCTGGGAAGTTGGATCAATCCTGGTGGCTTAGCGGCCTACAAAATTTCTGCATGGATACAAAAGGTTCGATTGACTTCTGTCGACTGACGCTATCTGTGGGTGAAGCCACCGCGATACTCGATTGTTTATTAACGGTTGGCTATACTGTTCTGCAGTTGACTCTATTCTACTGAATGGCTATGAAACATGGGCAACAAAGGTTGAATAAAGGAGAAGGCTTCAGGTGTTTGACCACCACTGCCTCCGTAGCATAGGCCATGTTTCGTGATGTCAATACGTGAGTAACACGGAAACCAGGTGTAGAGTTTTGGAGGAGGGAGATAAGTGAGTGGTTGTTGTTGTTGTGACCTTGATTGAGTGAGATGGCTGGGTGGGAGATATGTTACTTATACCTGGTCACTGTCTGCCTTGTCACATGAGTGTTGGTTGAAGTAGATTGAGGCTGGAATAAAGGTTTTGGGTGACGAGACTAAAACATGTCATTAATGCATGAAGTTGTCTGTTGTTTTGAGTCGTGTATGTCGATGCAAAATAACCGGTTGAGATCCGCTGTGCAAGAGAATTCAGTGGTTGGAGGCTGTAGGTGATATGGTTGAGAACTGTTGTCATTGGTGGAGATGTATGTAGATATTATGTCAATGTTGACCTCTATACTTAGTGTCATCATTTTCTCATTCTTCCATCCTTTCATTTACTACTTTTTACTTGTGACATCAGGCACAAGTCATCGTTGGCGAAATCCAGATCTTCTAGGTTCTTTTCCACAGTCCAGCCGGCGTATCCCCCTCTTCTCACAGCTCCCCACTGCTTGCTGCATGATCCAGTCCAGTCGACCACAATCAGGAATATCATGGGGGATAGTAGACAGACAGCCTTGTCTCACTCCTGTCCCCTGTCTTCACTTCAAAGGCGTCACTGAGCTAGCTTCCCATTGTGAATTACTTGGCTGCCATGTGGCGTCTTCATATAGTTGTTGAATGAGGTTGATAAAGGTTTGCGGTATTCTGTAGTATTGAAGCAGTTTCCAAATTACCTCTCGGTCGACGCTGTCAAAGGCCATTTCAAAGTGGATGAAGTTGAGGTGTAGAGGATTGACTGCTATTCTATACTGTGTTCTATGATGATGCGTGGTGTAGCGTTTCAATTTGTTCCGCACATGATTTGTTCTTCCTGAATCCAGCCTATTGCGATTATAGTTTTGAATCAGTGCATCGTCTAGTCTCTCCAGGATGATGCGGCTTAATATTTTGCTTGCTGTGGGGGGAGAGGAGAGTGATTCCGCGCCAGTTCTTGCAAACACTGAGGTCTCTCTTCTTCGGGAGTTTGACAAGGTAGTCCTTTTTCCAATCAATGGCCAGGTACCTTCTCTTCCTTCCACACCTTCTGTAATAGTGGTGTGATCATGTCCCCTGTTGTCTCTGCGTCTGTTCTCAGTGCTTCTGTCGGGATTCCATTTGGTCATGTTGCTTCCCCGCATTTCAGTAGCATCATGATAGCCACTCTGAAACTCATTGTGTTTGTGGTTGTTATCTGGGTTGCAATGTCGGAGTAGATTATTGACTCTCCAGTGGACAGTTTGGAGAGTCCACTTCCATTCAACCTGCTTTCGCAGATCCCTAGCACTTCTATGCTATGCCTTCTCATCTCTTTTGCAATCTGTGTAACCTTGCTAGGTTCAAAGGTAGTGCGGACATTTCATATCCCCATCCTTAATTTCGCTTTCATTGAGGGGAAGAAGAAACATTGGCCAATCGGCTTTGTGAAGGCTTTCACCAACCCGATTCCAGCGAGGAATAATTTTGTTTTTATTTTTCTATATTGTCTGTGCTTTGAAGTTTCTGTAAGAGTTGGATTAGTTTTCCGGGGTATGGTTGGTAGCCCTAAGCCCAACCTTCCCTCTTTATCCGGGCTTAAGACTGGCTAATAACTAGTGAACTAGTTAAGCAGGCGAGGTTATTCTTCGGATTACCTAAATGTAATTGTTTTTCTAACCATTTAGGGATATGCTCCCCCACCAACTTCATATTTCGAATACTTTCCCGATGTATATACAAGTTGGTATACACAGCAGGGTGTGGCGTAATCGTTTATGAAGTGACGGGGTTTATTTGAAGCATTGGTTTCTTTTTCTCTATAATATTGATGTTGGCTGCATAGTATGTCCTTTTTAATAATTGAATTAAGTCTTCGTCTTAAGATCATACTGTTTGATTCCCTTTTATACGGTAGCTTGATGTAAAAATCCTTCTTGGGGACAGAATATTGATTATTTCGCACCGTCGAGACGTTTTTATAACGATTGATGAACTTCTGAGGATATGCATTTTCCATGAGTGTCTCTGTTAGAAATTTGAATTCTGCGTAACAGATACGTTTGGTTCTTTTGAATAAGCATTTTACTAAACCTCGTTTTTGCTGTACTGGACAGAAACTATGAAAGTATTGCGCAAATACATTCCATTTTTCAGATAACTATGCAAATTCATCAAAGGGACTAATTTTCTCATCTTTAGATATCCTTTATTCTGTCTGATACAGTTAGAAATGCGTACAACTAAGATGGAGTTGTGAACTGAGATGATCCAGCTGTCTAGTTCTCCGTAGTCTTCAACGACTTCGTAATAATACATGAACACTGCATGACGATTGAAGAGGTAATTGAAACTCAGGTTGCGGAAGGATTCAAACTTGTAGTGACCTTTAGATAACTGGGCCACCGGAACAGTAAGACGTAGCTACTAACGAGGTCCTAACTTCACTTCAGTCACGTCAAGGTTTACTCGGTTATCATAGGGTTGCGTGCTAAATAATGGGTCCTTTCAACATAGCCACACTATGTATCCTTACAGAGACTGTTATCCAAATCTATATCGCGCTTGATTTGAAAAAAGGGGTCATCGTATTGATTGTTGATAGAACTGCTACAAATTAGTATTATTGGTGAGGGGGTGATAACTGAAGTTGAATAGGTCATAGTAGGATAGGAGTCGAATCTTTGGTATGATTACCTGTTGAGTACCTTGTTATGAAAGGTTCAATGCTTCACATTGAACTTCTTTTTTTAACTATCACATCTCATCTGTTTTGTCCTCTTCTCTTTCTTAAAATGATGTTATCATTATTGTGTGGTTATGGAAATTCAATTCTAGAAATATGGCAACTGTGTTAATGCAGTGTATTATCAATGCAGATTGTTTACATCCATGTCCCAATTCTGATACGGTGTTGACTAATGCTTTTGCAAATATTATTAAAGAATTCAGTTCAATGGTAGGTCATTGTTTGTTTTGTTGACTTTTCTACTCATTATTCGTTTCTTGTGTTTACTCAATACAATGTTCTAATATGCTTGATTCACCTTTATTGCTGAATATGCTAGAGATGATATGTAGTAATATAGATTACGATATTAATTGACCTTTCTTTCCATCTGTTTTTATTAGGCTTAAGTAGTATTGTAGTATTGTTCCAATCGATATTATGTTTTTCGTCCCATACATCCTGTTAGGTGAAGGCACTGAAAGGATTCAGAGTTCCTGGATACCGTAAGTGACAATTTGAGAATGTTTGGGATGCGTTTCTCACTACACAAATACAAAATTTTGATCCAGGACCGGTCTATGTTGGCGTCCTATCTAGTAATAGGGAGTTAAGTGGTTGACTGCATTGACTAAATCACTTACTTAGTAGTGGGACCAGTCCAGATGGGATACGAAAAGTTCCATTGGATTTCGCTAACAAACGCCATCTATGATACTGGTGAGATATGCAGCTGCTTATTAAGGACCAAGTGTATTGTACTACAGTTCACTCCGCTCTACTTACTATATGACTGTGAAATATGGTCATTAAACATGATAAGGTTTACGATCACTGCTACCTTTATAACATGGACCGTGTGTCATTGTGTCACTATATCAGTAACACCGAAGTCATGCCTTAGGTTTGGGTAGAAGAGGAGCATCAGTTAGTGAGGTTGTATATCTACATCGAATCGGACGGCTGGAACATGTGCTGCGCATGCGCAGTCACCTTCACCCTACTTTACCTGCAGTAGGTTTAGGCTAAAAAAAGATTAGAAGCAACCAGACTGAAACGTGTTTGCAGTCCATGTCAGATTGTTACTGTGAGCTTTTGGTCTGAACTATGTAAGGAAATGTAGACTTTTTGGTTGTGGTCGGTGTTTGGAGTCTCTACATAATATGACTAAAAGTTAACGTCGGTGGTACAGATACATCCACACGTTATCATAAATTTTAATGATCATATGCAATTTTATTCCTTCTTATTTACTTCTCATGACTTTCTATCACATTTTGACTGCTTCATTCCTTAATTTGGCATCTTTCATCTTGGTACTTCCTACCCTGATTTAGGCCGAAATGGTCCGTTAAGCAGTAATACCAGGTTCGACTTTAGTGCTAACTGGATACCTGTGTGTTACTACCATGAACTCTATTTCTTGAGTCTAACCTTAATGATTGTCACACGTTAACGGCGATATGAGAAAAATTGCAACATTTTTGACCATTCCTCATCAATACTATTTGTTGATATACTTGTAATTCTCTGTTGTTTTACTGGGTCGAATTGTTCGACCTCTATTGGCATATGGGTTCCTATACGCATGTCTAGATATTGTCCAAATATTTATTATGACATTTTATTTGGTTGTGGCTAGCTATGGGTACGAGATTCAGTATGAACAACATCATTCACTAGGGTGCAGTTACTTCCAGCTGAAGAGTCCCAGATAGGACGAAACGCGCATCCTGGATTCATCTGCTAGCCACAACTAAGTGAATTCCTCATCATGCTGTAAGCATTCATTATTAATGTGCAATTATTTCGTTTATTTTTTCGTTCATATTCCATTATACATAATCTTTTAGGTGACAGGAATAACTAAGTCTACATGCATAGCACCTTGAGAAGCATGAAAAAACTAGATCTGAGAGATATTTGATTACTTGGATAAAACCGTAGACAGTTAACTCTCTTCCATAGAGTCAAACGTGGTGGACATAAGGACAAAATACTCAACGATAACATCAGGTGTTGGTCGCACTATATTCGTGAACTAACAAGTTGAAAATATGGACCACTGGACTCCGAAGCAAGGACTTGGTGGTAACTTGCTAGCCACGGGACCTGCTGGTCATAGATTCGGTCACTGGTGGTGCGTGTCACGGATGCGCCTGCTGAGGAGCCCCATGCTAGCACGAAGTAACTTTCCAGTGCTTTTAGGTTCCCAATGTTCCTCCAACTGATGTTAGTCGACGATGAATACTAGCTTGAAATTCTTGCTAAGAATGTCTTGTAGATCATTTCAATTGTCCACAGCGTGTTGATTATCTGTGAGTTTCAGACTTGATTTGACTTAATACGTACTAGGTGATGACTGAGGGTGAAATGAAAAGTTGGACCGCGGCCGGATTCAAATCAGCTACCACCGGATTTCCGGCCTAATGTTCTACCAACTGAGCTACGTGGTCTAACTGCTGACCAGATTTTTATTTCATTTCAATCATCATGGGTTTTGCCCGGCTATCATATGGATTCGTAACGCGTCACTGCCGCTTGATCGTATTCACACTGGCTGCCTAGTCACTGGTTTGAATCCAGCCGCGCTCCAAATTTTCATTTCACCTTCAATTATCACCCAATATAGATATTAGTCTGCCAAACCGCTCAGATAGCCCAAAATGTTAATACACTTTCGTCTTTATGTCGTAATCATGAGACTGTTGTAGAGACGAGGTAGGGATACAAGACTGCATTTTTCACTTTCATAACAGTTTTTAGTTGAGTAAGGATTTATAAGCGAATGGGAATTTTACTGAGCACTCGTCTCCTTATTTTCATTTTTACGAAGAGGAACAGTTTCTTGGGAACTTTTAAGTATTCCATCTCATTCCTGTTTTTTTGTGTTTAAACACCTCCCTAAAGGGATTGATTGAAACGGCACTAAAACTGTCTAAAATATGCCGGTCTACACTTTGTCGCTTTCCTGGTCAATCGCCTTTATTACAAGCTAGTATAGAAATTGAATTGGAACAGAATCTGCGGTCAGGTTATGATTTGGCTCAATGTGATCGATTAGTCAATTCACTGAGACTTTATTGTCCATGGGAAGCTGCCCTAAGGTTAGTTGTTAATGGTAATTATTGGTATTTTTTTCCTCTTTTTTAAGGTACGTGGAAACATAAGCCTTTGTAATTCTCCACCTACTTTGTTTTGCTCATTTCAATGCTAAGTAGTGTCCTTTTTATGCTCTTATTTTTATACTACTTACCATTGGTAAGTAGTATATTCATAGTATCTTACAAAGCTACTTTGTCAGTAGCCCTGTTTAGTTTTGCTGTAATTGTACTTTGTTCGTCATGTTAACATTCTGGAATATTGGTATCTTTGTCATATAATGACAGTAATATACGCCCTCAAGTTATCCCCTTGGCGATTTTCATTTTCCTTAGAGCATTTGTTTGTTTCTACCTATTACCACTTACTCTGCGACTCTGCGCGTTTCCGACATTTCCCATCGTTCTATTTTGAGGATTTTTGGGGATTCATTTATTTCAGGTTGGTATTCATCATAGATCGATACCAGTTGGAGAAATATTGAAAACCCGGGAGCACCGAACAGCCGTTTCGTCCAAATATGAGACTCCTCAGCAGTGCGCACTCATTATAGTTTGCCTCGGCATAGTTCTGCTGTTTATTTCGTTGATGCAATTTTTTAAAAGTCGTTAAGTACAGACACGTCACTATCCAACTATAGTATTTCAGACAAATCCTGTCACGACTGATAGCTGCTGCCTCGACGTGGTGGTCGGGCTTGCATGTCATAATGACCCAACGAAGCTACGCTACATGGAACACTTGTTCCCTCGAAGTTCTACCATGCCAGAAAGATGTGTTGGATAGTAGTAAGACGAAAAGCAGCTACCGTTGTAGTGTAAATTACTACACTAAGATAGGAGGTCTGAAGGTGAAGTTGTACAGCTACTAGCTGAATGGGGTGTGACAGCAGTAAGGTGTTTTCCTTGGATGCCGAGAAGTGTCACACTGACACTGCCTTCTCAACGGAAGGGGAAGGGATTTAGAAAAGATCGGCCTCAAGACTAACATATGTCCCTGCCCTATCATCTCCCGGCGCCGGTGGTATGGGTTTTTTATCCGGTGTTAGAGCAACCAAGCCTGAAAACAGCATCCCACAAAAGGCTGTCTGTGTGGAACAGGCCTCGAGCAAATGTATCGTAAGCTCTTCGGTCATGCAAATCTTTTCTCTCTCGCGTAGCTCAAGAAGACAGCCTTCCACAATATGGGGAGCTGGGAAGTGTCAACCACCCCCACAACTCTGTCAGCACTCAAGTTCCCTTAGACCATTACCCACCTCCCTCATACCTACATTCTAATCTTCCATCCATCTCTCAGTTAACAATCCTACATCATCTTTAATTTCTTCTAGCTCTGCAGCTTTCGACAACGATCTGAGTCCACAGATTACCATTATTAGTCTTCTTAAACTGCGGTCCAAGTTACTCATTGGGACCTTGAACATCCGCACCCTCCATCAAATCCACCAACAAGCTTCATTATCCAAAACTCTAGCAACTTGGGCCATGGATATGTGCTGTATTTGTGAAACACCCATACGAGACCATAGTTTTGTTATTCACTTAACCTCTCCCGTTCAGTTTGGTGAATCCGCAAAATTCACCCTTCGAGTTTCTGGAAATTTGATGACTAGTTCTTGCAGTCTTCCAGGTGTTATTGTTACTGTATCATAAACTGTCAGGCTGTTGTGTATATCTCTGTCAACGCAAAATGAAACAGTGAAGCAACAAAGAATCAACAGACTGTTTTATGACCCCAGGTGAAGTAACTTCGCAGGATCATAGCCTAGCCATTATGTAATAATTGTGCAAATCCTATGATCGGCCGGCATCAACACGTGCAATATGGTAATGCTTTAGCTTCAAAGTCGAACACAAGAATTCATGGACCAGTCACCTCAAGAAACAGCATTAATCCATACGTGGAATATCCGCAAAAACATGTATAACCTTAGTTATTACCATCCTACGATAACTGAAATCGTGAGTTTGCCTAAAATAAACGATACTTAGCAACGGCATTTTCATTGTTGCATAAAGATTCACTTCAACTTGCGTTTGGTTCATTGCTGTTCAATAATATCCTTTGAATTTCTTTGTTGAAGTTACTTACTCACAGAATCCCCCTCCCCCCCTCCACATAATAACCAACATCAAATAATTTTAAATAAAGTTTTATATTATTCAAAACGATAGCCTGTAAGAAAAACATTTTTACGCAGTAAAACAAAAATGGATTATTGAATGACAAATACGCAACCTGCAAACAATCAATATCCCTCTACAAACCGTAAAAGCAACAATGCGAATGGACAACCATGATTGGTTACTGGGACTGTAAGCAATATGCCTGGTAACTGTTTAACTACAACGCGCAGCTTCGTGTTCTCTGCGACTTACAGTGGTACGCCTAGATATCTGCCTATTACTATCTATCTCCTAATTAGCACACCTTCGCAGTTCTCACTTTTACTCGTCTAGCTAGTTCATCTTTACCAGGTAGTATCCGTGTACCACTAATTTCAGTGAGTATTTGTTTCAATCGGATAACATCTTCCATGATCAGTTATACATTACACTATGAAGGTAATGATTAAAGGAAGTTTAATTGAAAAATCATCACTCTTCTCTGAATAGAATATTGTACAATTCTGTTTATATTTCTAAGTAAAATATGCTATAACCCAAGTTACATGTTTACTATATTTGCTGTTAGAATAGGGATTCATTGCGGTAATACTACTGCTATATTTTTATTGTTGTTGTCGATAATAACCCGTTATTAATGATCCTTAGTCCTGCCTTCTATTTCCTCTTTCTTTTGTTTAAAGGCAAGCAGAAGTAGAACAGAAACGTGGCAATATATCCTATACTCATGATATACTGCGTTACATTATTGACAGTATAATAGAAAGACGAGATCATGATTGTGGTTTATTAAAACAATCTAGTAAAAATAATGACAATGAAAAACTGTTACATTCATCAAATGATTTATGGAATCCAAAAAAACCATTTACTCATCTTATTCTGCCTACATTTCCTGAGCATACTCCTGTCGGTGGATTGTGTAAACTAGCTAATATTGAATTACGTGCACATTTAGCTTTAGTGAGTTGACTTTATACCAGTTATTTTGCTTATATTCAGTGGAGTTTTATGTTATAGCCTGGTACTTTTGGTTGATTTCCCACATCATTCGAGATGTCTTCTTCAGTGGACAGTTGAATTTGGCATGGTTGATATTTTTACTTCATTTTTTCGCTTAGTTTATTCTTCAACTTTCGATGATTATATTGACGTGTACTCTCTCCGTCTCCTTGTAATTCGTACTGTTGTGTTGGGTTTATTGAGATCAGTTAACCACAAGACAAATTGAACAGCTTCTGTGACAATTAGAAATAGTCTGTGTCTGTATGGTGACTAGCAGCGCAATCCAGGTCACTCGTTTCCTCTTATTTGGGACTCGTCAAGTGGATGTACCTACATCTCACTTAATGGTGTTGTCCCCACGGGAACTCGAACCCAGTGCATATCGCTTCAAACACTAAGGACTTATGCACTGGGTCACTTGTGAGGGGGGGCGGTGTCGAGTACATCCAACTGACGATTCCTAAATAGGACGGAACGCGTATCCTAGGTTACACTGCTAGCCACCAGGCATCAGTATAACAGCCCATTTGCCAACATAGGTCAAACAATTCAACCCCTGTGTAGCTACGAGAAATTATAAGTATAAAAGACTAGAAACAGTTCGGTTGAGTTGACGCTTATCCGGTTTTTGTTTTCAAGTTGGATCATTTTCCTGCACTTCTACTAAATTGGTAGTTCTTACTAAATAAGGTAATTTGTTGGGCTCTCAATTGATTTGTTTGTTGTTCTAAGTAATTATTCTCCTCATACACATGCACCTGGATAAAAAGGATATTGTGCTTAATCTAGATAACTGTTTATTTTAACTGAATTCATTTATCGATATCATTTTTGTCGCCAAGATACTACTGGTCAGTTATTGGATAACTACACTATCGCATGGGATTTCGTGAGGAATAGTGTTCAATTTTTCCTGGAAAATGAACACCTTGTATCGTGCAGATGCTGTTTGTTCCAGTGTTTCCCTTTGGAATGAATGTTATTTGCAGTAAGTAAACTGCCGTAAAGTAGTAAACTGGCTCTTAAATAAGATCACACTACACAATCAATATATATCAACATAGGACCAGGCATTACTACGTAACGGTCCGAGTTGCCACACCTCATATCAGTACATCAAGTAGAAAGGTAGTGAGGTGAAGGATGAAGATAAGTGAATGCAGTCAAAAGAAATATAAAGTATGAGGAGAAAGAAAAGAGGAATGATAAAATAGTGAGATACGGTATAGCGTCGTTAATATGAGGATAATGTGTGCATACATCTACTCCACTGACATCGGTTCTGAACCATATCACCTAGGGTCTCCAACCACTGGTTCCTCTTATCCCGTGGACCCCAACCACCTAGTCTACATCGCCCAACATGGCTCAAACCAACAGTCAAAGACTTCTTACATTAGTGCCATGTTTTAGTCTGGCCACCTCGAGCCTTTTTCCGGCCTGAACCTACTTCGGCCAACATTGTGTGACGAGGCAATCGGTGACTAGGCATACGTAGTACGTGTCCCAACCATCTCCATCGATGAGGGTTTATAACCTCGTCTACTGATTTACCTCTGCTTCCTAAAACTCTACACCTGACTTCTGCATTACTCATATGGTGACACCACGGAAAACGTCCTATACTATGAAGGCAACGGTGGTCAAACACTTGAAGCCTTCTTATATCTTCCACTTTCAATGGCCATGTTTCCCAGCCATACAGTAGAAGAGAGCGGACTGCTGTGCAGTACACGTGACCCTTAATAGACAAATGGATATCACGGCGGCGCCATATGTGGCGTAAATTGGCAAAAGCCAATCGAGCCTTTTGTATCCGTGCAGAGATCTCATCGGCAACTAATCCACCAGGGTTGATCCTAGTTCCCAGGTAAGTGAAGTGGTCGACGCACGCAACCACTTCCACTACACAAAACATGTTTCTTAAACTTGAACTGACATCAAATTGAACCGGTGTAGATTGATAAAGCTTATATGATGATTCACTAGTTAGTTAGTGGAGTGGAAAAGTTTCATTAAAAAATGTCTTCAATATAGGAGTAAAACTTGGGCGCAATTTATTGTCCATATTCATACTAGGTAACTCCACAACTTTGAGATAGTTTATGTAGTCTTAATTCTTTGTGATGACAAGGGTAGTAGAATTTTCCATACACCTGGGATAGGTAAAGAATCATTCCTCTTGCATGTGTTTGATGCTGATTTGATAAACAAAGATTCGGTTATCAGTCTGTCCCTCCCTCCAGCCAATTTTTTTATGCTGTCGCTCTATCCCATCCTACGGTGTGTAGAGAATTCAAAGCCTGTGCTGTGTTACCATACAAGGAAGGCACTTCAGAAGCATTACGAAGAATTCTCAATAAGGCTGCTGAGACTAAAGTGGCTGGTGTTTAAACCAACAAACTCACTAACACTATCGATGCAATTGGGTAGCATAATCTGGTTTACCAAATCCCTTGCAATGATTGTGAGGTCAAGTACATCGGTCAAAGTAGTCGACCAGGGTTGATTAGAATAACAGAGCACAAAAACTTAGCTAAATCAAGATTAGTAGGTCCTTATAAGATGCAAAATTTAGAAAAACGCTCGGCTATAGTTCTTCAAGCAATTACACACAATCATACAGTGAGGTGGGATAGAGCGACAGTGTTGAAAACTAACTTCGTTGAGTGGAGACAGAGAGAGATTGATAACCGAATCTTTGTTTATCGAATCAACACCAAACACATGCAGTAACAGAAATGATTCTCCACCTATCCTAGATATATGGAAAATTCTACTACCCTTGTCACAAAGTTGTGGAGTTACTTACCTGATCTGAATATGGACAATAAATTGTGTCTGAAATATTATCCAGTAAATGATACTTCTTATAAAAACAGACTTAAATGGAAAAATCTCTTTAACTATTTTTCTATTAGCTAACGTATATTCATCAGAGAGACATCTTATTTTGTTTTATCTTACAGATTGAACTATTGATCACACTGAAGCTTTATATGTATGCATTCAGTGAAATTGATGTAGCAAGCAAATTGTGTAGACAGTATAAATTGAATTTAGGGTTGGAGATGATTAACTTATTACAATGTGCAGCTCATTTATCTATGAATAATAACCAGATGAAAACGGCTACTACTACTAACAATAACGACAGTAATACTGGTCACAATAATAGTAAGCAGCTTAGTTTTACATGGATAAATAAATTGAGAGAAGATAATCCCACTGGAATGCTTGAATTGAATACTAGTTTAGAAGAAATACTACATCGTACCGACCAATTGACAAAGATTCGTTGTCGTGTATTTATAAGTCGTATAAGACTTCTAAATGATACTAATGAAAACGATCGTTCATGTAAGTATTAGTGTATGTTTATTCATTACTCTTGTTATCTGTTTAACTGTCTGTCTTAATAGTAATTATTTTTGACTATCTGTTGATATGCTTGTAATTCTTCGTTGTTTTACTGGGTCGAATTGTTCGACCGCTGTTGTCATATGGGCACCTATGCGGATGCTTCGATAGTCTGAATATTTACTATGGTGATCTACTTGGTTGAGGTTAGTAGGGGAATCTAGGACGCGCGTTTTTTCCTATTTGGGGCCCGTCAGCTGGGTGTACCTGCACCCCAGTGAGTGATGTTTTTCCCGCTGACACTCGAACCTCGTACTCATCGCTTTAAACCCCAGAGCGTTATTCACTATGCCACTGAGAGACGATAGTCACTTCTTGTGCAACGAGTATAGTTTTAATGTTGTGTCTTGAGTCGAAAACTAAAGCAATATCTCAGAGTGGCTAATAGCCGAATCCAAAGAATGCGTCAACTCACATCTCGCGCTGGTCAACTGGATTTGAAAATATAGGCTGATCGATCCAGAAGACTTCAAACTTGAATAAGAACACGTATATCCCGTGAAAGGATGGGTATGTCAAAGCTCTTAGTCACAGTGATATTGAAGTGATTGAGGCTGAAGAAATAAGGAACTTGGCGTGCATACTTACAACTCCTACCTACCATGATATGTTGCAAAAGGCGTACTTATTCATATGCATATGTAGCTCATTGGTTTCAGCCTCTGATTTTCAAATAGTGAGTTATGGCTGTGAACCACCCTCCACTTACAGAGGTTCGGGCAGCAACGTAATATAATTAACCCTCGAACAATAGATGATGCTAGTTGCTTACTGTACGAAAGTGCATATGGTTACTGAATTCCATCTCTTCTTCATTTTATTTCTATGCCCATTTATTCGATTAAATGCAACAATTTTGCAAACAAAACATTCAGTGGGTAAGTTTTTAGAGTCAAATAACAATTTTCTAACGGGGTCTAGACTTTGAATGGCGTGATCAAGAACAATTATATTCTCGACAGTCGTTTCTCCAAATGACCTATTTTGTGCTTACAATTACGGTATTTAACGGTTAGGTCGGATGATACTTTAGCAAAAATACCTGTTCGCTAAAATTTTGATCTTCTCAATGATGAATACCACCATCTTGAAATCGATTAATCCCACGAATCTCCAAATTAAAACGTTAACATTTTATTAGCGCGCTACTGAAGTAAATTGTTCCAAAACCTAAAATCTAAAATAGCCTTGTTACTTCACATGTATCTCGTTGATGAATAATGAGTGTACATCTATGAAATCTCAGTGGAAATATCACTCACTGGGATGCAGTATATTCAACTGACGGCTCCCAAATAGAATGGAAGGTGCACCCTGGATTCCTCTGCTAGCCTCAGCCAAGTAGATTACAATGATTATTTTAATGTTTCTTATACTTGTGTTTTTGTAAACACAGTCGCTGGAATGCATAGCAAAAAATGAGGCAGTTCAGCAACAATGCGGTGTTTGGTGAATCAGGCAATGAGTCATATTCACTATATAGTAAGGGCTAGGTTATTACCACATGTCTGTGAAAGTCTCAGTTGGCAAATAAGGGGTTCGAACCCGTAACCTACGGGGTATTACTTGACTGCGTCTGAAAATAGTTACAGTTACTCCTGTCGATTATTATCGGTACTTGGTTTAGTTACTTTGCTTTTATACCCAGAACATTAGATGAGAATGATATCGTATCAAATCGATCCTTGTGTTATGATTAAATCTTCTTGGCCTATATCAGTCTTGATTCAACCATTGCATTTCAAGAAAAGGAAATCTGGCTGCTTGATGCATTGTGAAGCAAGTCATCCCATGTTGTTGCTTGCACATGATTAATAGCCGCATCTTGTTGGTTTAGGTGGTTAACTTTTAATCAGTGAGTCACACATTCGAACACTGCTCTATCTACGATAGTTTAGGCAACTAGATAGTATCACTAACCCTCACACAATAAGTCTGACTCATTCATTACTTTATTGCACGAACTTTCACAAAGTTGGTGATTAAATTTCGTTTCGGATAGCTAAAACCACTTATAACCGATTCTACCGAAGGCCCAGTGACTCTCTAACACTGTGCACCGGAAAACACAAGGATGTAACGAAATCTGCTGTCCATCAGCTGTCCATATTTTCTCTTGAGGTTAAGGATGTAAATCTCTATTGTATAAGCCATAAGGAATTGTAACAAAGATAAGGCAGACTGGTGATGTCAGAAGGTGACTAGGTTTTCATGTTCAGATAATAATTTCTGCTCTCCTTACTTCCATAACTAGGATATCTACAGTCGGAAAGACAACTCAACAAAACAGTGGACAACTTCCGGTCACCCTCTGGTAGATGTACGGATAAAGCATGATTTAAATGAATGCCAAATTTATTTACACTAAACACATCTAACGACTGTATCTTATACTTCAAAAATTGTAGTAGTGTACTGTAGGCTTCGATATGGATAATCGGTTGGAGTGTTATCAGGATCACTAATTGGCGGGAAACTTTGGACCAAGGTTTCATCCCTATTAGTTGGCACTCATCAACAAGGTTTATCTGCAACCCTGAGGAAACTAGTATTCTCTTGATAATCTGAACCAACGTCACTAATCAGTGCGAAAGTCAGAAACTTTACCTTTAAGCTATTCAAACTATGAATGATCTCCCATAAGACTGGATTATTTACGCGAATTGGTTACTATAAGGTGGGTAACTAAGCGGTATAACTGTTTAATCCTCGATGTTCAGCACTGATCGGAGTCTATCGATTAACAGAACACCTAATTTCGTCATGTACATCATAGTATCGTATCATTTGGTTTGGTGGCCATATTACAAACTTGAGTGATAGACGTCCATCAGCGTTGAACAAATGAACTATACAAGCATATCGATTACGCATTGGTGACAAATCCGTGTCATATTTTCTACTATCAATGGACTTTCACCCTCTCTAATTCAGTTCGATTTGGATTAGGGTAGCCAGCGTATTCATGATGGATGAACAGTTATGTATCATGCATTCCCATAATAATGGAGTGATCGAAATGAAATTAAGATCTAGTCACTAGGTGTGTATCGTAGGTTACTTGGTAGAGCTAGTCAGTTGGTTCGAGTCCTTTCGCAGCCTAGATTTCTATTTCACCTTAAGTCACCAACCAGTATAAGTAATATTTTTATGTTCATTACTGAGTTGCCTCAGTAATTAAAGCAGTAGGAATGATGAAATTGTGTAAAAATGGATGAAACAATTACGGAATCCAATCACTTCACCTCACTAGACAGAAAAACAGTAGGCTGAAACCAGTTTTAGTACCCCCCCCCTTCTTTTTTTCTTTTTGTTAGTATAAAAGATACAGAAAGCATTCATAGAACATACAAATTACAGAAGTAATTACTCAATTGTAAACTAACTATTCTTTCAATCCCTTTATTATTATTATTATTATTTTAAACGGTAACAGTTACTACCTCAGCATCGTTCTTCTTTACTAATTGTAGTTATTCAAATGCATATCGCTGAGTTATTGAAAGCACTTCATTATTATCGTCAATTGGATGATAGAAAACGTGTACTTGATATCTTGGTACTAATGGTGAGTCAGTTTACTTTATAAGCAATTTAATGCAAAATCAATTGGTACTTAGTAGATATGAACGCTAACAATATTTATTCATCATAGACTGATATCAGTTGGAGGAACATTAGAAACCTGGGAGGACTGGACAGCTATTTCGTCCTAGTAGGGGACTCCTCGGCAGTGCACACTCATCACCTTCAGGTCCCACTGTCAACATGTTACCATTGAGTCACTGGGTCAGAATCCAATGGTCCATGTCTTCAACTTTTGTCAGTTCACAACCGTCACCCAATGTCATTGCTGAGTATTTGTCCTCACAGCCATCAGATTCGCCCCACCGGCCACGACTTCTCATCGGAACTTCAGGAATCACCTCTCGAAGCTAGTCACCAGTGAGCACTAGATGAATTGAATTTCGGGGTTTGTGATCTTTAAGTTGATATTCATCATGGACTGACATGAGTTGGAGGAACATTAGAAACCTGGGAGCACTGGCTAGCTGTTCCGTCCTAGTATAGGACTCCTTTGCAGTGCGCACCCACGACCTTCAAGTTCTATGGTCAATACGTTACCATTGGGCCACTGGGTTAGAACACAATGGTCCGTATTTCGAACTTATGTCAGTTTACGACATGTCGTAACCATCACACAATGTCATCGTTCAGTATCTGTCCTTACGATTACCAGGTTTACCTTGGGTTCGATCCATGGCGAAGTTATGGGTGCGCACTGTTAAGGAGTCCCGTACTAGAACGAAACAGCTGTCCACTACTCCCGAATTTCCAATATTTCTTCAACTGATGTCAGTCCATGGTAGATACTAACTTGAAAATATGGGTAGATCCCCACAAACTCCCAAATTCAGTTTATTCGTTAAGCGTGAAGTTGTATCTCATTGATCCAAGCCAGCTTGATTCCTATCCTATACATGTTATCTGATTTGATGGTCGATTTTCAGCAACCAAGAATAGTAGCGTACTTAGTCTGCTGTATAGTAAACGCGCTTTTAGATAATCAGAGAGAGAGAGAGGAGAAGCAAATGAATGTTTTGTTACATTCTATTTTTGATAAAGTACTTTTCGGTTGTTGTTTTTTTTTGGTAGCATAAGCACTTTAGTTACTAATTCAATAGTTTATAATATGGTTTTAATGTTTAAAGCAGCAGGTCTCTCCACTAAACATAAATGCATCTGAATACACTTGTGTATTCAGCTGGTGAACCTTAAGTAAGACAGCATTTATCCAGGTTTCCTGTACTAGTTAAGAACCAAACATCCTGTTGATTCTTGTGCTATGAAATGTTCTTGTAATCCTGATAATGATTGTTATATGTCTGCTTATATGAGTGAACAGTGTATTGAAGAAAAATATTCATATTCTGCCATTACCGAATCATAAAAGAGTGTCAATGATGGATCAGATGTGTTATTCAAATTAAAAATTATTTCCCTCCTTTTTTTTTTTTTACTTAAGAAAAAAAATGTGAAAATGCATTTTTTGGGAGTCAATACCTCTCTTATGGGGGGGCGGGAAAAGCCGAGGTCGCCAGACTAAAACATGGCACCAATGTATGAAGTCTCTGACTGTTGGTTTAAGCCATGTAGGACGATGTAGACTAGGTGGTTGGGGTGCGCGGGACAAGAGGAACCAGTGATTGGAGACTTGAGGTGATATGGTTCAGAACCGAAGTCAGTGGCGCAGATGTGTACACACATTATCCTCATCTTAACAACGCTATACCGAATCTCACTATTTTGTCACTCCTCTTTCCTTTCTTCTCGTACTTTATATTTCTTTTGACTGCATTCACTTATCTTCATTCTTCACCTCACTACCTTTTTACTTGATGTACTGATATGAGGTGTGGCAACTCGGACCGTTACGTAGTAATGCCTGGTCCTATGTTGATAATGATGATGATGATGATGAGATACAAGAATCTGTCTGGTGTTTGTTAATTGACATTATGAGAAAGTCTCTTTTCCGGCGATTTTATTTTCAAGGCTGTACAATCGTGGATTTATACATTTTTTCTAGTGTAAAGATATGATAATCAAAAACGGTTTCTCATGCATGACAATACAAACAGTGTCAATATATGAGCTGTTGTTATTAAAATCAAAAAACTGTGATGAGTAGTGAATATTAATCAAAATAAGTTTGGACAAAACGTTTCATAACATGATTGGAAACTGAATTGTGATCAGGCAGAGCATAGCAACAAGAAAGAGTGGGAAATTACATAAGAAGTGAATAGTGTCACAAAAGGGGGTAGAAGTTATCTCAAAGACTGAAAACTAAGATCATGAAAGGAAAAGAAGTTGAACAGTCTTTTTTTGCTTACAGAGTTCAGATTTCTCCATATGCATGGCAACAGCTTCAGAAATGCAGAGAATACGAAGATATTCAACCTTTGAAAGGTTTCTTTTCACCATATGTATGACTTTGAACGAGGAGATTCTTGAGATAAGGTGATTCGTGTTCACGATATGTTCACTTATAGCACTCCTTATCACCTCTTTGTAACCATGCGGGATAGTGCTCTTAAACCCTTTTGGATAACAGTCGCGTCGAACGACCTATGTACCTGACTCCACAAGAGCAGGTGCATATATCAATACACCTCAAGGAGAACTAATCTACGAAAGTGTGGGCAACTGGGAAGTGTTAACCGCCCTCACAACTATGTCGCTACTGTGAATTTAAGGCGATTGACGTTGTCACGTGAAACTAGTAAATCTTAAGTAAGCAAGTGACATAGTTCTGTTAAGTAAAAGGTAATGACGATGTAGAGTCTTCTGAACACTATGGGTGGCAATTCGAAAATGGTTTGGATGCATTTCTCGTCACGTAAAGGCAAACTGTTGCTCCATGACTAATGTTTCGTCTAATAGTAGAAAGTGAAATGGTTGAGGGCACTGATTACTTCAGTTAAGTGGGAATTCGCATTAGTGATCAACGAAATCTTGGCGCAGATAAAAAGCTAGGTCAGCTTTCGCCATTTCTGAGGCCGTAGTGGTTGATATCCGATTATCTATTGAGGGTCGAGTGTATTGCGTTGCAGTTTGATGTATTCTACTATATTGTTGCCAAACACGGCCATCACAGGTAAAGGTATGAAATACACTTCAGGTATTTGACCATCGTAGCATTTGCCGTGTATCACCGCATCAGTGATCTAGAAGTCAGGCGTAGAGTTCTAGGAAGAAGAGGGAAGTCGGTTGACGAGGTTGTAAACTTTCATCAACTCAGGTGACTAGAATATGTTACTCATGCCTAGTCATCGTCTGTCCTGACGCACAGTGATACCCTGAAGTAGGTCTACACTGCAAAAACGTTAAAGCTGGCCAGACTAAACATAACATCAGTCCATGAAGTCTTTGACTGTTGGTTTGGGCCGAATAGAGAAATGTAAACTTCCCAGCTGTGTGCGTGACAACAGAAATCTGCAGTCGGCGACTCTAGGTGATATAGCTGAGAATGGACGTAAATGGTGCAGATGTATCAATATTTTATCCTTATCTTAATCGCTTTACTGTATTCATTATTTTCTAATTCCTCCGTTTTTACTACTTTCTAATATTTTGACTGATTTTTTTCTGATCTTTCATTGTAGTGTTTTCTCACGTATTGTGTTGATATGAGGTATAGCAACATGGTTTATTACACAATAATGCTAGGTCCTATTTTGTCTAAATAGTAGTTTAATCATTTTGCATGCATCAGTTCAAATTCATCAGTTTTCACCTTGTTGCTTCTTCATCGTCATCAAGGCCAATGTAGAACCAGACATTACTGGATAACGGTCAAAGTTGCCACACTTCGTGTCACCACATCAAGTAACAAGGCAATGGAATGGGAGATGAAGAACGAAAGAAAAATCGATCAAAAGTAGAAAGCAGTAAAAGAGGAGGAAGAATCAGAAAATGATGAGATTAAGCATAGCGATTGAGATGAGGATAATATGTGTATACATCTGCACCTGCACCACTGACATCGACTCCAGCTATATCACATAGAGTCTCCGACCACTGGTTCCTCTTGTCTAGCGGACCCCAACCACCCAGTCAGCATCGCCCCACATAGCTCAAACTAACAGTCAAAGACTTCATACACTGATGACATGTTTTAGTCTGGCCTGGAGCGTTTTTCCCGTCTGAACCTACTTTGGCCAACATTGTGTAACGAGACAGATGGTCGCTAGGCATACGTAACACATGTCCCAACCATCTCAGTCGATAAACATTGTGTATGATAAGACAGACCTTATTAATCGTATAGCCATCAATTTTGTTCATATTAACTTTTGGCCCTAAGACATTCATTGTTCTTGACTTTCTAGTGTTACAGGAGGTAATTAAGTATTGTTGCACTTATAAGATAAATCCGTCAAACTTTTCATTAATTCAAGGGATTTTTTGATAATTTTAGGCAACAGCATTGAACTCAATGAATGAACCTGCTAAACGTAATGAAGTATCAAAGTCGTTTCATATGCTACGTGAACATTTCGGATTTGACAGTACACCTGTGAACCGTTTTGTTGTTGACATTCTGTAAATATTTATGCATTTATAAAATAAATTTTTATTGTTATAAAGATTAGATATTTGCTTCAAGGAATTTTATCACAGATAAACATTTTAAAGTAAATCGTGTTTGAATGAGATCGTTAGCAGTAGTGATGTCTTAAGTCAATTAGTTTTTTCATAGATTCGATTGAAAGTGTTTTGTCAGAGACAAATCAACTTATGGAACTACGCCAAAACTACGAAATTCAAAACCAATCAATGTATTGGTGTACGACACTGAAGATAAAGCCAATACGGAAAATTAAAATCGGTTATCCAGATTCATAAAGGGCTTTACGATAAAGTCGTGTTAGCAAATATCTTCCTTTTTCAACATTTCTATGTGCGATGCTCCTGGTCTCTATATTCCTACTCAATAGTGCCTTCTTCCCTCGTGAATCTTCACCAGTTGATCGTTACTACTCCCAGTGTCTTCCGATGTTGAACTGTATACTACTGATAGCGTTCGTTAGTCTCAACTGTGGGGGGATTTAAACCGCCTGGCTGGGACCCCCGAGGCGATAGGAATCAGTGGCTGAGAAGTCTTGGTGATTTGACTGAAGTTCGATCACAATAACGCAGACGTACTCAGACTTTGACGTCTTTTAAAACTTGAGTATTCCCACTAACCGTTATCTTCAGATTGTTTATTCTCTCATACAACTTTTCCTACTTTGATATCAGTCTTTTCCTATCCACTCGTTTTTTGTATACTACTGTGAAGTGTGGCAAAGCCAACCGATGCACTTGTGCGCGACATTCTACGTTGATTTATTCGGTCAGCGTTCACCACAATGCTGGTCACCAATCAAGTTCATTGTTCGGGTGTGGCTTAGTAGTTTAGGGAAATGACTATCCACCATTTGGTCGCGGGTTCGAATTCCGCCCCACCTACCGAGGTTTTGGCATCCAGGTAGTAGTATCACTAGTCTTCACACAATAGGCGTGGCTTATCGCCTACCACACGGATGTGCACAAGGTAGTTGAGTGCGTTTCGTTCGTTTGTCATGGTTTCGTGGGTTAACTAGTGTCCAGTGTGGTTATGCAGTTTAAGTGATTCCAGTATACATCAAGTTCACCTAATTTACACAAGACATTTACAATAAATCAGGTCACTTTGCAATAGCGGAGATGAAAAGTTACCAGTGAGCTTAATTTTAGGGACTGCACCTAGATTGAATCACAGTAACAAAATGCTTCTGACGACTCCGACTAGCTCTTGTGGTTTCAAAAAGTGGCACACTGAACAACTTGTACATAGTTCTGTGGATCTATTAATACATATTATAGGAGAAGCATCCGATAAGAATTTTGGGTAGTCACAGATCTTGCAAGTGTCGTCCCGAGAAAGTTAGTTCTAACATTCAGTTTCTGCAGTTTGGGCATTGAAGTATTAGTAAGCTAGTCAAGAACAATATCCAAATTTTGGAATATAACCACTGAAATGCTGCTCTGCAAAATGACAAAAAGAGATACCTAGTCAACTTCAAATCCCTACTGATCTGTCTCCTGGATGTTTAACGGCAGAAATAACTATCTTAACTTTGATGGTCGAACAGACTCTTCTGTCTAGGTGTTAGGAACGGAAATGACTTTCGAACATATAGCAGCTACCTACAGCAAAAGTTGGTCAGTGAGCTTTGATAAGTAAGGTCACCCTGTTAGGATAACACGCATGGGTTACTGGGCACTTATTTCTTATATAAAAGACGTCGACTCTACAACGAAGGTATCCGAGGAACTATGTGGGCAGTAAAAAGAACATGATGGTTCTACACACATTTTTATGTAACTTCAAAGATAGACAGACAAAATCGACGTTGAACTTCACAAACAGGCGGATCGGCTTAGGTTGCCATACTTTAAAGTAGTATACAAAGAACGAGTGGACAGAAAAAGACTGATATCAAACGAGAAAAAGTTATGTGAGACAATAAAAAGTCTGAAGACAACGGTAAGTGGGAGCATCCAAGTTTTAAAAGACGTCAAAGGCAGAATACATTTGCGTTACTGTGATCGAACTTCAGCCAAATCACCAAGACTTCTCAACTACTGATTCCCATCGTCTCGAGGACCCCAGCCAGGTTATCTCTCCACACGATTCAAACCAACAGTCAGGCTCTTTATCGACTGGTGCCACGCCTTCGCCTAGTTACCCTGAATCCTCTTCCAATTTCCCCATGGTATGGTACAATGCGCATCCTGGATTGCACTGCTAGCCACTATCCATCATTACTATGATCCTCAACTAGTGCGAAGTAATTTTCTTCTGGTGTAAACAGTTTTTCTGAAACATTTGCAGAGACTACTCATAGTTTTCGTCCCCCCACTCAAGTGTCGCCTCTTATCAAGTTTGTCGCAAAATGCTTGTGGTAGGCCGGAGTGCTACTTAGCAGGGGACTCTTGTACGCAGTGTTTCGAATGTAAAAGTTGGTGCCAAGATAACTGAACAAGCCTTATATTGTCCACATATAAAAAGTATAGTAATGCAGGAAGTGTTGAGTGTCCTGCTGCTTAGATATTCCCAGGCTGGTTGAGGAGGCGGAAGCACATGTAGTTACCGTCACGAAGAAGATAGCATGTAAAAGGGAAGTTGATAATTGTGATAGCGATGATGACACGGCATCCGTTGACACGTAGGTTGCTGTGCAGAACTTGAAAATGTCTCATGCCGAACCGGAAAGTTTTGGAATCACTAGCAATCTACTTGTATGGATCAGAGAGTTCCTTATTGGTAAGAGACAAAGAGTATTGATCAATTCTCAGCTCTCCTCTTGGAAGTCGATACAGAGTGGAGTGCCGCAAAGCAAACTCCTGAGTATCCTGCTATTTCGCCTATACATGAATGAACTGCTAAATATCACGAAATCTTCTATGGTTCTCTACAATGATGATGCGAAAATGTGGCGGGAAATTAGGGATGACGAGAATGAACGTGCACTTCAGTTGGAACTAGCCAGCTTGTTTGCCTGGTTAGAGAAATGGCTGATGCTTATCAACGCAAGTAAATGTGTGAGCATCCATATGGGAACAGCTACAACCCACTACCCTCAGTACTGACCTACGATGATCTAGGAGTCATAATGAGTTATGATTTGAAGACCACTGCACACTGTCTATTGTTTGTAGCTCGGAGTTTTACGACAATTTAGACATCATGCAGAAAGTTTGTAAAAATAAGTGGTGATATGAATACCATCTTATACACATCCCGAGTTAAATTTTAGCTAGCAAACTGTACACAGGCGGTAAATCCTTGTCTGGCAGGTCAGTCAGATCTTTTAGAAAGGGTTCAGTGGATAGTCACTCATATGATCCCTGCGACAGCTGACCTGACCTACGACGATCGACTTAAGGAGACGAACTTCTTCTCTTTATTCCATTTCAGAGAGTCGGGATATCTGATGATGCTATACAGGATTCTAGGAAAAGACTCTGGACTTGATCTAGTTCCCTTTTTCTTTTCTACTAGGTCGGAACACCTCAGAGGACATAGTAAGAGAATACAATAGCAAGAGACAAACAAACATAGACTACACTCAGCACTGGTTCTCGTGTCGAGTAACCAACTCCTAGAACCGACTCCCAGCAGAAGTGGTGTACGCGTCACTAACTCACCCATTAAAAGAGGACTAGACAAGCCCTGAAACCTACTGAAAAAAAATTAATATGAGCTCATAGCTTCATATTTTCCTACTGAAAACCTGAATCTAAAGTCTGAGATCCTGATCCCAGCGCAACTTGAGTACAGTGGATAGAACACGAGTAAATCCTACCTTCAAGAAGTCCATCTGAAGAGAGTCAAACAAAATTTCCAGTCTGAGTAACACTGCAGTGGGACTTTGAACAAGTGAAGAAACGTAACGCAAATTTTCTAATGGACCGTATATTAGAAAGCCATACGCTGTAATGATAGGCACGGGCTAGAAAATTAATCTTATTGCTGTTAGTTTACCTTCATCTAATAAAAATAATACCTCTACGCTCTTAAAGACTGGTAATTTGGACATATTGTCTAGACATTCTGTGTAGAATTTGATCACATTAAAATACAACAGTGAAAAGTCGAAGTAACATTAAGATCCCAAAAATCAACCTACCACATTGACTAGGGTTCCTATTCATAACAATGAAAGATTTGGTGTAGCAGTGTACTGTATATTACCACTGAAACTGGTTCCTTCATAGAATAAAAAAGTATTAAAGCACTCTGTTTACGTTATTCGTCCGATACTATATTAGCAAACAAAATGACGAAATGCTACATAAGGAAACATGGAAATTTTATTCTCCACTTCTGCAGCTAATGACCAAATGATGACCAAATAAATCATCCAAGCCGATGTCGGTAGCTGACTCGAGCCAGATTTATTTGACAGACAGTGGATCCAACTTAGATTTTGCTGTCAGTAGCATAGCTATTTATGAATCATTAGAAAACACTAATAATCCTAATTCATCCTACCGTTTTGTAAAAGAAAAGTGACGAGGCTTGCGAAAGTCGGTTCTGATATATATAAAAAACCGGCAGTGTATACCTAGCCCTTACTGTAGCGACTGTTATGGCAGTAATCAGGATAAGTACCAAGGTTTCGGCATAACTACAAAATAACACACGAAACCACGACGCAGAAGCACTATGATTAAAATGCGTTACATAGTGCCGGCCTGAAATTCAGCAATATTCCTAATACCGTACAATTAGCATGCAAGGTACTCCCTACTGCACGAATACCTTCGTAAATAACCTCCCATCAACACCACCATTATAGTAAGAAACTAAGGTCAATACAGCGAAAATTAAGAGCTTTACAAAAGTCACCAGGTGATTGCTGGTGTGGGTCATTTCACTGCCATACGTTTGCTGCATAACCCGATGAAAAACGACAACTGGCAACGTAGACGCATTTCCACTTGTTTCCACATGTTACTGACAAACAGCAAAGAGGTTTCAAAACCTATAGGCTGCAAGGTTCTTATTTATAAAAGTGGTTATGGACATAATAATGAGAAAGAACTTTGGAACAGAACACTTTTTAAGATCACATAAGGTACTTTATACACAACAATTAGTTAGTTTCCAACAATAATACTGTTGATGGGAACAAAAATTAACTTTATGATGAATCCCAGCACACCCATTGCCAAAAATCCAACTGCAGTTGCGATAGCGTTCTTTTTAAATTCTGATAATTTGTTGAATCAATAGTAACAACTAACCTTTTCTATCAGGTTTTGTACAGCGATTGATGAAATGAACAGAATCTTTGCTGAAACGTACAACTGGCTCAACCAGAGCTGACACCCTATCCATTATAAATCCGGTAGTGAAATTTTTGTAATTCCGCCTTCACCACGAGTCAATTGTTAGAATATCTTAACAATTTATAGACTTCAGAAGGTAGCCGTTAATATCTATGAAAATACTTGCTTAAATACTAGATATAAGTCATATTTGTGTAGCAACGTCACAACGGAATACAATGTGGCATCAATGACTGATCCGTTTAACTTTTTCTTAAATAATTCCACCTGAAATCCGGTTTTATAGATGTCAAAAAGTTTCAGCTTCTTTTTTGTGCAGAATAAAAACATTCTGGTGCATCTGTCTTAGTTTTGTGTCTGACCTAAATCTATCAACTATGAAAGTGAATTCCATTTTTCAGAAATAAGAACTTCAAACTTCGTGTTGTAGAATTAGTGAACTGCGGTCCCTTGGGTTCTACGTCTGTCTTATTAGAACACATTCTGAGTTTGAAGTGGTCGCAATTATCTTCCCTGTTCCGAAAAACCTGAAAGGATAGATACACGATTATTAATTAATCCAGTCTCAAGGTAGTATTACTGCATCTGATCTCCGGAAGGCTTCTCGGGTACAGCCCATCCGTACGGTAGGACTCGAGGTGTGCGTCTAACCCCCTTTTAAAGGTACCAGGGGATGGGGCTGTAACAACTGTTGAAGGGAGGGAATTCCACAGTCTACAGACTCTAACTGAAGATGAGTTAGCACGGATCTTTATACGTGCTCTCTCATGCTCTATTCCTAACGGGTGACACCTCAGGTAGCGTTTCCGACTAAAGCTTAGAAGGGATCTGTTGGGATGGAAGGGATTATGAGCGATATGGTACATCATGATCATATACCCTCTGATCCTCCGGTGTTGTACTGTGTGCAGCTGAAGAGCGACTAAGCGGTCTGGGTACGGTTTGTGCCATAACCCAATCACTTTCTTTGAAGCTCTTCTCTGTACCCGTTCTAGGATGGCAATGTCCTTTTTCAAGTATGGGGACATCACAAGCGAAGAAAAGTAAGTCAATAACGTATACTAAGCATTGCCAGCGGTTTTACTGTAAAGATTCAATTTCAGCGTAAAAGTATCAGCGGGGGTGATGACACTATTACTTTTCTGTGTAGTGCTTTGCTGGTCTACAACTCTATGTGGGAAACGTATTTAGAGACGCAGCTTTAAACGCGGTTTTCTGAACTCTTAGACAACGACCTGTAAGTTAAACGGTCCTAGAAAGGGAGAATTGGATGAGATTAGTCATAAATCAAATGACTATTCAGGACGCGGTTCATTTACATCGTGCCACTTTCTTCCTACATTAAGACTGTGGGATGAGGTCGACGACTCACCTTTTCTTGTATATGTCATGGGTATGTTGGGACTCGCAACCGTTTCATATTCTTTGCAAAACTAACCTCACGCATTATCAATAGGCCAGGTGGTATCTGCCAACCAGTCTGTCGACGAGGCGTGTCCTCTTATAGTCACTATGTTCACACACCAGAAATTGAGATGAGGTGGAACTAAGTCATGGGCCGTACCGAAACTCAGGGCTTGAATGAAACCACCACATGGTCACTGTTTACCAAAAGAGAAAGAACATTTAAAGTAAATCTGTGATACTTCGAGTGCTAGAGCAGTATCTAGCAAGGAGCACCCACAATTGGAAACAGTACATGCGGTACTGCCGTGGTCCAGTGTCGGCATGCTCCGTAAGAAAGATGGTTAGTCTCCTGTAGAACGAACTGTGTGATTTCGTCGAGAACTTTTCCGCTTAATCTCGCAATCTGAGACAGCTGTTGCCTTTTCCCTAACCACAAGTACACCCTCCTGTGAATTTTTCATCCTGGTGGGTTGGATTGAAGTAGATCACACCACGAAAACTGTGCATCCATGCGTGGAGATTTGGTAACTAGTAGCCCTCCGTCAGGGGCTGTAAGTTTAGTGGGCAGAGGTTAGAAATCACGCCCTAGGCGTGGGATCACATTAAAACCTTCACATATGTACATATATAAATCTGAACCGTTGTGACAGATGAATAAAAAAGAATGTTTGCAGAACTGTAAGCTTGATAAAATTGGAGATAGATGAACCTAAGCACTTCTGGTTTTCGGTTATTGAGGTCTTGGGAGCCGCCGCCGTTGAGATCAGCATACTTAAGTTGGATTTCGGTCGATGCAGCTTGATGGTATGCCACACTCGTGACCGTAGCCTCACCAACAGAATATGAACCAGTTGACAAAACTGACTGCTTGAATTGAAACTTAATAGCGGTCACTAAAACATCGTTGGCTACAGGTGTGGACATCTCACTCATCTTAAGTTATTCATGGATTACAACTACTAGAGCCGTGGCTTATAAGGACGCATCCAGTGCCCCTTTAATTTGAATAAAACTTATAGAGACCCCTGAATGTTTGTGAGGTGTAAGACCACTAGTCGCGTGGTTAGGTCGAAGCAAGCCATTGTAACTTCAGTTATGATAGCATTTCAGGATGACTTCGTCGTGCTAAGATGCGCAGGACTGACGACAGGTGACTAATCGTACAGTAACCCAGTGTGACCCATGTTGACTGCTAAGAGTTCCCATCCATTGGACCGGCTATGTATAATAACAAAAACCCGGTGCTGATCGCTTTACAACTTAAAGTGCAATGTCCCGGCACTACCAGTCAGAGTATGAGTCGTCACTTTTAGAATCAGTCATCACAAACCAGCGTGAGGAGGCAATGGGCATAGAGTGCTTTCCCATAATATCTGATAAAGATCATGCCGTAAGTATGCTTAAACTCTGGCTTTCTTATAGCTTGAGTTTTTCGTGCACTGACGTATAGGCTATTTCGGATAGCGCCCCCCCACTTACTAGCCCCCTTATTTAGGTCCTTCAATGGAGAAACCTTAAGGAAGGTAGAGGAATATATTTGGTTGTGGCACCACCGTTTGTTCCTTGATCTAGTTCTCGAAGACCCTGTCATAGACTGCCTCGGGTTAACAGACAATCTTAAGGGTCACTGATGGTAATAATAATTTGTTTGAAATAACGGATTAAGATTGATAAAAGTCCTGTGAGACCTATTTTTGGCTGGGGGTGATAAAACATTTCGGACGAAATATTATTAGGTTCGGAGGAAACACAGGTTCATCGTCTATACGTCGCACTACGTCCTAAGGGCTGCCATTGGATGGTTGCTCAAGCCGAGGGAAGTGGCCGTTCTTACACGTTAAGGGATGGCACAAAATGATCGGAAGATCCCCATATTACCTCATAATGAGGCAGACAACATGAAGGGACCGGGTCCAACCAACATTAAATCCATCCCACTATTCTGGCCTGGTGCCCTCTACTGACAGTACTCATGGAAGTCCGGAGACCAATGCCGTTGCTAAAGCTCACCCACTAGGGCTCGTTCGGACCACAGAGGCTGCAGCCTACCAACTGCCGGAAGACCTTACGTTTGGACATTCACCGAATTGAATGTACTACAAGCCGGCATTCTGTTATCTTTAGCTGATATGGTAGACACCCTCTCAACGAAACTTTTCCCATAAAGGGATACACGGAAGTTGGAAGAATGATAAAATCCTGTGCCCAAGTGAAGTAACAGGCAACTAGTCACAAACTAGTGGACTGTTAGACTTACGAAGACTGCAGTGAAGGCAGTGGGAAGGTCCAGTGTGGCAGGGCACTGAGGGATTTACAACTACACAACCTAAAATCCTGGAGGTAAGTGGCCTACAAGCTGCAAAGTTTCGTTTGGCATTTGTGCTCCTACCGAGAAAGCACTGGCTTGGGGTTTCTGGTTGTAAACTCCTTTGGGACAATGTTTCCATCGATCTTAGCGTGGCTTTAATGAAGTGTCAAGAAAAAGGTTGATGAAAACGATTGACAAGCCTAGCATTGGTTATAGGGCTCGGACCTGGACTTGGGAAATGGTCAAATAACTGAAGGCAAAGAGAGGGAGCTGGTATAGTCTTGTCTGAGTGGCAACCTATCCTCAGCAAACAAATAAATGTTTTATTCCCACATCAAAAACTTAACGTGAGAGAGGCCGGTTCACAGGCATCATGACATTGATATATCTCGAAATATCCACAAGACTTTACGAGTCCTGAAAGGTAGAGGTGAATGTCATTGAACTCTGTTAAAAACAGCAGAAGATCCTGCTAGTTATGAAACGAACAAGAAAACCTCACTTTTCAGCGTATACAGAGTGCTAAAGTTCACATAATAACAAATATTATCCTCATAAAGTGGGTCTAACACGAATAGTTCCAGTTTACAAGCGCCGTCAAATTCATAATTTCCGAAAGTTTACAAATTGGTATTTAGTATTAAATAATTCACATATGGAGTCATTGGTGTGCAAAGTCTTATTAAAACTTGCTGAAATTCATGAGACGGGCATGGATTTTTGTCTCACATCGCACAAATAGGTTCCACCATCAATAACAGAAGTGCGCAGTGTTGGAAGTTTGCTTCATAACCGACCGACGTTGTTAGCCCATCCACACAATTTGCTATTTAGCAATATAACAGTCTATTCCTTGGAACAATCTTCGGTTGACAGCTTTGCTAACCATAAAGGATCCATTTTTACAATCTCCAGTATCAATAAAGTATCCACAGTTATATAACCAAGGCATATGTCTGTATCAATACATTTCCAAGTCACCTTGTTAAGTTTAAGGGTAATATAAGCCAATTCTACCAAAAATGTTCGTTGTTTTTGATGGAAATAGATGTTTAAATGGTCAATAGTTCAGGTAGCAGTATTTTTACGTAGACTTCGGGTACCTTTTGTATCAGCATAAGCAGCATCATTCAAGATGTGTATTTGCTGCACATTAACTTTAATATGAAGAGAAAACTTGATATCGACTGCTAGAAAATAAGTAGCATTGAGCTACTGCCGATAAGTCGCATCCCGAGCCAATAGGTAAATTGGTTGCTGGTTTAGTCGCCCGTTCAGAATGTCTCTGCTTCTAATACTGTTAAGGAAGTTTAATCGACTGGTCACAAACAAAA